AGGAATGTATTTCAGTGAATACTCTGTCTACGAAAAGACTGTCCTCAGGAATCGGAGAAGATCCAATTCAGGAATATCCAGCCGCGAGCGTGCAAGAAAAAATCAGCTCACGATTGTTCATCGAACCAGCTCCGAACCCGAGGCCAAGTCACCTGCGTACCGGACTACCTACACGCTCAACCGTCGACGTCGTGTGAATCGAGCCAGATTGTGGCTATCGATTTCTGCAGTGAATTTCTGATGAATCGAGAACGGCTCACAGCACGCCAAAATGTCCAGAGCACTGGCCTTCTCTACTCTCAGATTCCGGCACAGCGAGAACACAGAGGTGAATCACTCGATGTGGGGAGAAGTTCTCCGCTCTGGGAGCCTATCTGGGAGAAGAGGAATTCTTTTCTCCATACGTGAGATGATGCCGAAGCCGCGACGACATGGTTTGATCCTATATGAGGGAGTCCCACGGCCGGTCCAAAGTCTTTACCGATCAAAGGAGACATAGACTCGTCGACGCAAAAACTGAGCGAGAGTGTGGTTCTTGACCACCGAGTCAGTGAACCCTGAACTCGCATCAAAAATAATTTCACCATCGAGCGCGTGCCGTCACGGATACTTGATACGATTCGATATCTTCACCCATGCTCGGCAGCGGTCAAACATATCCTGTGCGTATCGGTGAGATCGATGATCTCGAAGCGACTACAGAATCGTAGCGATCCAGACAGCGCGTTCCCTTGCCGAGACTTCACATCGCTCCGTCCTCTTGACGACTCTCATCAGTGGGCACTGAGGGTGATCGAGTGACACCCGCATTCCGTCGCACCGTGTGCCTGAGTAAGGAATTCGGTACGGAAAGACCAGCGTTGTTCCGATCGAAAACCCTAGTTTACGAATCCTCGAACAATCCGAAAAGCCAAGGGAGCGATTCTCGATACCCCCAGAAGCGAATTCCCCGCGTTCCCGACTTAGCGCAAAAATTTGGTAGCGAGCAAATAAGCACATTGAGCCCATGGTTCCTCTAAGTTCAGCTTCCCTGACCCTCTAAGAATAGAGGCGTCGGGCTGCGTTTGATGTTTTTGGATTAAAACGCGAGGAGAACATAGAAATTCCACTCAAGTCAGCCACTCAGTGCGTATGGAGAATCGCCTGCTAGGAATGCTAGCGGTAGTTGGAGTAGAGGCAACAGCAGTCGAGGCAGCGAACATATGACCTCGACCAAGAAACCCGTTTGTTGATATACAACTCTTACGTCATTCGATCTCCCTCGCTCGACCGCCCGGATGAAGTCCTCCGCCGTTTCCGGTCTTCTGGAGCAACTTCAACGAAGGCGAAGAAAATTTTCGCTTCGATGTCCGCTCGACTGGAGTGAAATTCATGCTCGGCGGATAAATGTATTCGAGGAAACGCTCTTTTCCGAGCCACTGCAACATGAGCCCAGGGCAATTAGTATGATGGCATCTGCCTTTTTGGAATGGAAATCGCTCGGATGTGACGACAAACTCCATCATCGTACTTAGCGAAGTCTTTTAAGGGCACCTTCGACCGACAGTCGGTCACGTGATCGAATAAATTGTAACCTCGGTTGCGGTGAGATTAGGATAAATCATGCTCCCGTTGTCGTGGACCAGAGACTCGTCGTCGTCGTCTTGCAAGCGGAGACCGCGATATAAGACGATGATGGTAGTGGAATAGTCCCCGCCGCCGCACCGTTCTCACTGTCACCGAGTGAGAGAGTCGGCGTGTGACTTTGACGACTCGAGAAAGGGTACCATTCGACCACGAAGACGCCAGCAGCAGCCACAGCAAGAGCAAAATCACACAAGATCGACATTGGAGGCATGCCACTTGTCCTGGCATCCATAACGAAATTTCTCATTCCACATGGAGGTAATTGATCGTCTTCTCGGCAGCTCTGGGGTCGGAAACGACGCAGGTGGAACCGCCGACAAGATCGGCGCTTGCCATCGCCCACTACGACGCCAGAGATCATCCATACATCAACAGAGCGGTACAGCCAGTGAGGCTGACCGATGGCCCGAGGAACAGATGGATTGGAAGGACAAGTCACCACATAAACTAGCAGGCCGAAAGGCTGCGAGAGCTTGAGCATGCGGACGACTTCGACTGTGGACGGTCATAGCCGTTTTGCGTCCTTGAGAGCGCTTACGCCGGCCGGCCTGCCGCTCAGCCAAGCGACCAGCGAGCCACTCGGTCAGCCGGCCATCTAGCCAGCCGAGTAACCAAACTGCTTGCCCAGTTGACTACGCGCTCCAACAGCGTTATTCCTAGTGAATGCATGTCGGTCCGCTCGCTCGGCACCCTTGCTAGCTGGCTGACCGATTCTCTGTCCGACTGCTCGTCTCCTAAATCGTTCGTCGTAGGTGTGAACAGAACAACTTCACTCCTCCTGTTATCCTTCTGTTCGGGCGCGCGGAATTCATGTCGAATATCATCGGGGGAGGACTTACATAAGCCTCGGCTGTAAGCTAGTCTTGGCTGTCTAGTGCGCGATCTTGGCCCGCGCGGTTGATTTCAATACCGCATAGCAAATAGGCTATTCTTGGAGTCGGATACATGAAAACGCTGCTGCGCTCACGTATCTCTAACAGTCCGTGGCGTGTCAGTCTTCCGAATTGCTCGGCTCCGCATCCATCTTGACTTGTTCGCCATTCGCTGTATGTATGCATCCTTGCATCGCTCAGCATATACTACGAGTTGATCCGGACGCTTAGCATATCCTCGGGAGAGTGTTTTCCTCCACGATACAGGAGGCAGTGCAAGCCGTTGTAGGGAGTCGCTACTGTCGGTGATCGTGAACCTTTCCGAGCCGCGACTGAAAATGCGAAGGGTGGATCTGCGTTGATCACGGTTTCGTCTCGGTGTTCTGCAGTAATGATCCGGAATCGATAACGACCGTCGAAGAGTACACGGAAATTCACCAGACGCTTTATCAAAAGCTGAGGTTTTAAGATACGATTCCGTTCCTAAAAAAGGCCACACGATGACTAGGAATCGAGCGAGCGGATAAATCGAACGCCAATGGACGGGAGAGGAAGCTTGACGCAAACAGACGTCTGGCTGAGTGTATGTTTAGTTTGACCGCGGAAGTCCTCGTTCATCCGATGCGTTCGTTCAGAATTCCACCTAAGGACACATCCTGTCATTTTTTCTGGCGAGACTGCTGTGCCGAAGACCTATCGGGTCACAGACGCCAGTCCGACTCCGATGTTCCGGTGGCTTCTAGTCGGAACGGCAATTCATTTTAGTAATCAATCAGCTCCCCGTTGCAAGCTTTAAAAAAACTGTTCGTTCAGGAACGAATCATCCGATTCCGATAGAGAATGAAAGACTGCACGATTCGCTGAATATCCACAATTACTGTGGTCTCAGATGATTGCAATTCCGACGTGTCCCCCACGCGCTTAGAATGGAGCACGGTCGGGTAGAACCAGTTGCGGATCCAGCAACGCTTCGAGTGGGGACCGGTCGATGCTTCGAGGGAGAGAGGGGAGAGGGGGAATAGAACTCGAGTCCTCCTCTGAAATGGGGGGATAGGCAGTCGAGACCCGCGAGGAGTGGGCGAGCGCCCCCTTTCCCCCTCCTCATGGATACGCAACTGAGTACAACCGCTCAGTACAACCGACACTAATGTCTCCCCGTAATTTTTTTCTAAGCCTCCCCCGGGTTTCCACCGTGCGCGGTTTCGACTCATGCATCGCTTAAAGGATTTTGAAAGCGCTTAGCTTACATGAGGAATTACTCGAGATACGAACCCTTATATAAGAACCGAAGACCACTCTCAAGCCGGTACAGCCATGGACAAGAGAGAATTACGACTCTGCAGATCAAGTCACCAAGATGACATCATGATGCGATCATCACAGTACCCCTTATGAGTTGATGATTCTCCCCCAAAATGACGAACGTTCGTCAGTCGTTCAGAGGTCCTCCGAAGGGCAATTACCTAGCTCGATACGACGATCGATTCATAAATGGAAAACGGGGGCGACCGATTCCTTGGATGGGACAGAAGATTCTCGGGAGCTCAATTTGGGCATGCATCTTAGACGTGCGCAAATGTTCTGCTCATTTCCCAGGGAAGAACCCGTCGTTCCATTTTTCGCGATTCACACGGAGGATTTTCCAGCCATGCTCATCGACAGTATGGTCGGCACTCAGTCGAGGCGATAGCGATCTCTTTTATCAGCGAGTAGGCACTCTACGGAAGGCTGGCCGAAACGAGGGAAAAGTATTCCGCACGAATTCCGCAAGAGAGCCGTCTCGAACGCGATTCCACCGCCAGACCGAAAAGACGTTCGTCTACTGGCTTGGAACGCTCATGCATCTGATGGTTGTATCAACGCTCACATACGAGAATCCGATGCTGCACCGCGGGAAACCGCTCTGAAAATCTCGTCTGGAGCGAGAAAGGGGGAGAGAGAAAAGGACAGACGCTCACGCAGGATTCCCAGCAGACGACGGAAATCATCTGCCTGAACGTTTCTGCTGAAAGCTGCGAGCCATGAGACCACCGCCGCCCGCCGTCACCACCACCGACGACGAGTCATCCGTAGAGTAGAACCGACAGCAGACGACCGGACTGCCAAGTATAGAGATCATCTTGCAGCAGTGGAAACGAAACCTCCAACCAACACCGCAGACTCGAGACAACGCTTGGCCGATGTTTCACCGGACGTGAACGCTACCGGCGGTTTGAACGAGTCCGTCTGGCACACGGGGTCGAGAAACGAGAAAACAATGAAATACGGAAAAACAATAATTCCTTCGATCGACTTCCGAACCCGGAGAAGGGCGAAATCGCATCATCCGAACTCTCGGATCGGCTTTTCTATTTGTCCGCCTCGGAGGCCTTCGGCTCCATATCGAGTTAGGTATATCGATGCATCTATCCTAGGCGTTCGAACTCTTCACGCTATCTAGCCCTCATCGGCTCGCTGTCTTGAATCGGCTGGGGAGAATCAGAGACGGCAGAAAACACTCACCTTCCATCCAGCAGAACTGTTCGAGTCTCCTTTGTCCTTAAAGTACGTCACGTTTTGAACCATCCAGTCGTAGATTTGCGATAATGTGAGCCTCTTATCAGGTGTTGAGGTGATGGCCTGCGTGATCAAGTCGGCATAGCTCATGTTGCCCCAAGCGTTACGTCGGGATGAGTTTTTCTTTGGTGGCAAGCTGCCTCCCTGTGGGGGGCTGCTACCCCCGGTAGCCTGGTCCAGGAGAGTGTCGTTCTTTTCTTCATCTTTCTCGATGAAATTATCCGGTCGAGGGAGCGGCCAGGTATTCGAACGAGCCCTCTGCTGGGGCTCGAACGTCGATCCCAGAGCGGCGTTGAGGTTCATATCGCTGATTTGGTCCATGTCCAACATGAGTAGTTCTCGGCGAAAAATCTGTGCTTGTCGTTCCTTTCTCGTGCTGCTGCTGCTGCCAACGCTGTCGTCGGAGTATCACAGGATTAATGCCCAATAGCGAGCGACAACAATACAAAACGTTCTGTCGAAAAGAGAGACTGCGTATCTCGAGGCAGAAGTGCTCCGAGTCGGTCAAGCTTGGTCCGCTGGGCGATGGTCGATCGCTATTCCTTCCCCGATAGGCTTCACCAGCGCTCTCTCGGGTTTGGTTCCTTCACGGTTCTCACGATTTCTACGTTGAAAGTCGTTTTATCCTCCTCACAGCGTCGCCTAGTTCATAACTCACAACCACATAATATGCTGCTGCTGCTGCCACCAAGAACAACGTTGGGAAAAATCATCGGACAAGGCTTGCTCGACGACACTATCTTGAACATTCTGTGGACTCCAGCGATCTCGAACGGAGTAAAGCACAGCACCACGGTCAAAGGTTCACTTCACAAGGCACACTTCGCGAGTTTCTCGATCGGCTCTCCCGATCGGCACAGGTCCCTCTGTCGCGTGTCTCTGCCACGGCGCTCTCCCTTCGAAGGAGAGCTCGCTCGGTGTAACAAGTGGTTGTTCCCCAGCGAGATTCAAGCGCGCGCGATGACCTGTTACTCGCTGCTATATTGGTGGCGCCACTTCTCCGCACTGATCGTCAGACTGTCAGACTCGCGAACGGTAGTCGAGGGCTCGCAGGCGCTTCGTCGCAAGACGATTGAAACCGTGGAGCTCAATTAAAGCTCTCTGTCCTCGTGGAGCTCGAATGCGCACGAACACGGAAAGTCATCAAACATCGATAAGTCAGAGAACGGAGTCTTCCACGTCGTGCCTCCCACTCGAACTTTGTCTTCTGCTCGATTACTTCTCGGCGCAGGTTTCCGGCATAGGTTTCCAGAATGAAACTTCGAGAGCACTGACTAGAGACCGTATTTAGGGGTCGTCGGTGAGGACAGTCTCGGCTCGACCGAGCTGGACGGATGAATGGAGAAGATGATGGTGAAAAACCCAGCGCTGCTTGGCTGGCTTGCTGGCTGGCTGGCTAGCTAGCTAGCGGGCGAGCGAACGTTTCCCCGGCCTGATGCGATCGAGCCAATGCACAGACAGATAGAAGAGAAATGAGCTACCATCGGCAAGCACGGACACTACGGCGGCCAGCAGCAGCAGCAGCACCGCCACCACAGCAAGAAGCCCTCGCACACTCTCGCTCGCAGCGAATCAGAGGGTACCGCGACGGCGGCGGAAGCAGCGGCCCCAGCAGCAGCAGGGCCAGCAGCAGCCCCGTTGCGGTAGCAGCAGCGGCTAGGCATGAAATCGGCTTCTACGCCTATACGATTTCACGGCTTATTTTCGTGCCCGCGCATACGTTGGGGATATCGCTCGTTTTTTCGCATTCTGATGTCCTGGGAGATTCATCTTGAGAGAATGGGGACCTGAGCCCGAAATTCTCTGAAAGTGGAGTCTCTGTCCACAGGAGAGTGAAGGGATGATGACCATGATCTCTGCTGGAAATTTTTGCGGAATTGGGCGGTGTTCCCCCTCGATCCGGTGTCCCTCGCGAACATGAGCGGCCACCATTGGCAAATGAGGGTAGAATGGAAGAGAATTGGCCGAGGTCGTTGTGTAGTCTCCTCCGAGTGACAAGGCGTCTGCCGAAGCATCGAATGTGAAGAGGCCGCTCGTTAGCATGGACGATGCTTTCCCGATCGAACTTGCTCTAGGAGAAGAGAAACCCTTGAGGGAGACGTCCTCCTCCCTCCGATCCATCTCCTGGCTCCTCGGTGTGGTTTCCCGCAGAATCGTGAGCTTCTGCTTGGCCTTCGCTCCGCCCCGAAGTTTTCCGACAGAGCCCGTGTGATGCTCTTCCTCAGAGACATCTTGACTTCCTTCGCGAATTCTCGTTCCATGGAGGAATGTTCACTTCATCATACGGAGGCATGAGCTCCGGGGCGTTCGTTCCCGCATGATATGCTGCGCTTCGATTAGCTCTCATGAACCTTCATCTCTTGACAGAGCCCCATCCCGCCGCTGATACTCCAACTTCATCTTGGAAAAACTCAATTTGAGCTATTTTCCAGATTTGAGTCTCCGGATCAGAGGTCTCAGATGCAGACTAATTGCGTTGCTGCGCGACCGTCTGGCGGATGCCCGAGAACTCCTTATCCTTTATATTTGTTCATCACGGAGTTTCCATCGATTCTGTTTCGTGCCCCATGGTCCGCTTGATATGATCTGACAGAAGGGTGTGCCTCTGCGAGACTACCCGCGCGATCGGTGTGCTCCCCTTAGGGCCGGAGCGTCAAACCCAGACCCCCGGCGGGCCGATCTTGGACGCTCACGGGGTCGGCGGGCCATGCAGGACTTTGTTCCTTCATCCAAAAACATCCATATGTGCCCTATGTGACGCTGATTCGGAGTCGTTGGGACGCGAGAGTACCCTCTCCTCTTCATTTCTCAAGATGAGTCGCTCTGGATCCTCTCCGCTCTCAAACGAGCGATCAAGAATCGAAACGTATCTCGGATGTCTGATGAACGGATTGGAGAGCTCCCTGAGTTTTGAATGTGGCGCTCCGCAGAGACAGATGAGAGAGTCGATTCTGATAGACGTTGGAAAACCTGGGGCCGGGCTGAACTTTTCACACGAAACGAGTGGAAGAAAAGAAATGAGCTCCAAGCAATCGATCGGGCGTCGGACGCAAACTGCCTCAAGCTTACTACAGCCGTCTCCCCGGCAGACGGGACATCGAATAAATGAGTACGTTGATTCTAATCAATGTTGGGAGTTCACAAACGCGGGATCTACGTTTCTCAAATTGTAAGGTGAATACTCCGGCACTCAATCGGAAGTCGCGGGAGGGTTATACGTGCACCCATCAGTAATTCCACGCAGACTGCCCAGGAATGTGAACGGTCCAGTACACGGTACGGCAATCCCCAGCGGTCCAGTACACGGCACGGGAATTCCTAGCGGTCCAGTACACGGTACGGCGATTCCTAGCGGTCGAGTACAGGTCGCTGATGCTCAGGTTCCCCGCGTTTTGAACGGATACTGATCATTTGCGAGTGCGAGGTGTCTCCTAGAAGCATGACATTGTGCAGTTCACTCATGGTTTTTTCGGAAGATCGATCATATATTCAGGGCGGAGGCCGCAGTTCGACTAGGATTTCGCAGATCGAAGGATCGGGACTACAGACTGCAGATCCTCGAGTCGTCAAGGTATGTACCTAATAATCAGTAGGGCAGTACGTTCCATGCACTAAGAAAACGATGATTATGCATGCAGTGTGCAGGGAAAATGAAGATAAATATGCATGAAAATGTGCGGAAGTATCACCGGATTTGTTCAACTGAGGAGGTCATATTACATCTTGATTACACGCTTCTATAATGTATTTCTTCAAGTTCTCGAATTCGAGAGACTGTCTGTTATTCCTCAAGATTGCTTTGTATCTCGAGAATGTGCGCTTAACTTCGCACGAGACTATAGAGCAGAACTTCAGCGCCAGGATATCTTCGATGGCCATGTCTGTCGCATCGCTGGGGGTTTCCTCGCGGAGAATGTCTCGAACTCTGCGAAGCTCGACATAGCCTGGATTCTCCTCGACAAGTTGTTGGAATTTTGTGAAGCTCGATTGGAGACTGGTTGGCGGAATTCGCAGCTTCTCGCCGAAACTCTCGATCAGCTCTATCGACTCTTCCAGCGGCAGTCCATGCTTTTCCGAGGCTTCGATTGTGGTCGGGATATCTTTGAAGTTCGAAGCGATGGCGATAACGCCAGCCTTCACCGTTGGGTCTTCGAAGAGTTTCTGACCTACACCGATGGCGGCTGCGTCGCGTTCGTTCAAGTCAGATCGCACGAACTACCTGAGGCTGTCGAAGATCACGGCGTAGTATAACACCGCATTTATACACGTGCTCCAGCGCGTGAGTATGGGCTTGGGGGTAGAGGCATATCGAGCTTCTCTCTCTATCGAGCAGAGCGTGACGGGGTTTTCAGGAAAATCAACTTCATGCTCGCCACAAGCTGATCGACTTTCGGGAACTGCGTACGAAGTACGAACTTGTTCGCTCACACGGTGTAGCCCATGCGCAACGCATGTGACGTGTTTCAATCGCGGGAAGGGGACTCTCAAACTCTGGGCCGCCTCCTTCATATGTATCGAGCACCGTCTGATGCGAAAACCAAGACCTTGTCCAAGGTTGACGCCGCCAATCCAGAGCAGCTCCATCGATTTCACCAACAACTGGGAAATCCTTGTAGCGTTTGTTCTCTCTAATTCCGCGCACTCGAGGAGAAAACTTTTCCGAACTCCGCATTCTCAAGCTTACCGATGACGACATTAGCGACGCTTTTCCCGGCTCTGTCCTTTGATTCATCGATTGACACCCAGATTCTTGATGAGCCGATTTCGTCTCTGATTCTCCGAAGGAGTACGTCGTAGACTGGAGGCACATGGAGCCTTCGCGAAGTTGTGCGATCGAGGACCTTTTTCGATGTGTATTTCTCGAGGAATCCCTTGAGTGCTGAATTGCCCACCTTGTGCAAAGGTGTGTCTGCGGCCAGGAAGGCTTTGCAAGGATCTGCATTGAACTGGTTCCTCGGCGTACAGACTCGTTGTCAATAGGTGCTGCTTCTGGATAGTCGAAGTTTGACCATTCTCGAGCAGCTTAAGGGAATCCTTGTGTTTTCCGGTCTTGACATGCTGGGAAATCGTGAATTGGCACGGATTGTGAAAACGTTTCGAGCATACTGAGATCACCTCGACGTCGGACGCAAACATATCCTTCACAGGTTTCGACCAATTCAGCGAATGATGGCTTGACTTTCGGCATTTCCGAACGGGGAACTGACTCGATCCATGCGGAGGAACCGTACCCGCTGGATTGAGTAACTTCTAGGATACTCGAAGCTCACCACAAGATTGAACTAGCGACGAATCGATTGCCGGTCGGAATCCACGAGACTTGGAGGCTATCGACAACATTTACGCTACACTCCGGAGCTGTTCGCGTGCGCGCGGCGGTGCGTACACATTCCGACGCGGCGGCGGTCACACATTTCGAGGCGGCGGCGAGAGCGTCTGGTGGAAGAGCGACCAGCTGATTTTGACAGGTACAGACCGACCTGACTACTTTAAGGCTGTTCGCCTTCGTAGCGACGCGCAAGGATTGCATGGCGGTCGCCGAGAGTTGTCGATACAGGCACGTTCGGCAACGCTACCAGTGTCAGAAACGGAACCGAACGGCCATTCGTCGACAACTAAAACATCGGTCCGTGATCGGCGATAATGCCTGAACATCCATATCGCGATCTCGCTGGCGCTCACGCTGATCCCGTGATCCAGAAATCGACGAAGAAAAGTACCGAAAATGACGAAACACGCGCGAAAAGTCTGAAAACCCCGAAATATGCATAGAACTGCCGAGACCATCGATATATGCATTTATGCATGAAAGTATGCATATCATGGAGCGCACTGCCCCACTAATCAAGTTCCGAGAAAGGGTAATGGTGAAGGTCGAGAATTCACCAAGCACAAGGTCGGCATCCCAGCTTTTTTTGAGCCTAGCTGCAGCGTGGAGGTACGCGGAAGCACTCGCATATGCATGTATAACCGTCTCGCGACTTGCGCGCAAGTCGCATTGGTCTTCTCTCTCCGATTTTTCAAGCTCGACTGGATTTTCTCGGTCATCCGTCCCTTGACTTATTGCTCTTAGCTAGACGGGGATTCCGCGAGCTCACCCCACTCGAATGAAGACTCAGATTTGGGTCAGGGAACAAGATTCGGAGAAACTCTCGATGAATGCCCTTGATTCATGAAAGCATCTCAAGAGGGGTGCTTACGGTATCCGAGCCCGGTTCTACGGAGCCCGCAGGTCCCGCCCTGTCGATTTCCTGGTGAACATCCCGGCGTACTGTCTGATTTGAACGCTCGTTTATATTATCTAATGAGGATCGCTTAAGGGGACGAGCCGACAGATCAACAAGTGAGTGTACGAGTATCACAGCCATGTTTCATCTCAGAGTACACATCAATGACCCTCCACGAGTAAAGATGTCGTACCTTCTCACTGCGGGCGGTAGCTTTAGGTGAGATGACGGTGCCGGGGCGTGTGTTCGTTGATTGAAGATAGCCGAGAATTGGTCAGGATTCCTCTTGGGTTTGCTGAGGCACTTCAGGTCGTTGCGTCGCAGTCGGTCCTCGAACGACTCCAGCGACATCTCCTTACAGCCAGCTCTCGCAGTGACTCGCCTGTTCTGGGCGGCTTGGAGCCTCCTCAGATCTTTTCGGAAGCGAGGAGACCAGGCTGGGGGCGCGTGAGTCAGAATGGGGAGAACGACAGACCTTCACATCCTGAGGTAGGCTTCGGGTCTCCTGATAGCGAACGCTCGCATGGGCTTGAGGCACAATGGCCTCCATCACATCTCTCGTTCCGAATGTAGGGCTAATCGTGCCGAATCCTCAGCAATCCCTGAAGTCTATTCTGACCCTCATGCCGAGATGGAATCCTTCAGTCGCCGCTTTTCTAAAGCTAACAGGCATTCTTGACTCCTCTCCCCAGGAACAAGGCTTGAGTGCTTCGTTGTGCGACATGCAGCCTCGTAGTTTTGCCCCTCTTGAATTATCGGATTCGCAATTTCTATGTTGGCCTCTACAAGCTCTAATGCGCTGGACGCGTCAGCCTCCTATTCCTCTGACCAGGTAGTCTTTCGAAACTTGCAGTTGTTGAACGTAACTGGTAATGATATGACTTTGGCCTTGAACGCTCTCTGGATAGAATGGAGCCATACATATCGCAGTGGATATTCCTGGATCTCACATTGTGATACTGCTAGCCCCTTGACGACTTCCTCGAAATCCCTAAATATATCGTCTATGATCAGACGGGGTTTCCGAGGGGGGCTCTTCCGGAGCGAACGCTCGTGTTCAGGAGAGAACGATGGGGTAAGATTCCGCTGCGAGAGGTTCTTCTGGGAGCCTCGAGAAGCATCCCTGTGAGGTCTGAAGAGACATGCGGGGTCAACTAGAAGAGAAGAGACAACAACACTCGACACGTGATCTGAGCCGATATGGAGCTCCGACGCGGGCACTTTGCATCGCACGCTAAGGCTGTTTCTCGAATCGTAAGAGTGCGCATACAGAATTTCTGTCGATCCTCGGCCTCCTACTCTGTGCTGTCGGATCCGATGCATGTTCTCCAATCGGAATAGCGGAAGGACGATGAGACCAACTCAGCCACACGAGACTGCGAGGAGCAAACGCATCCATTCAGAACTTCGCTGCCAAGCCTCTCCATATGAAGTCGTCGGACGAACACCTGTAGACTGCGAACTTTCTCGGGCCTTCATTCCTTCATTGTCCGAGCGTGGATTGAGGTTTCGCTCAACTGAGCTTGAGTCAGAGACATCGCCAGCCTAATCAGAGCTCGCGAGAAAAATCTGAAGCAAGCCAGTTAAACCGTCGTGGGTGGAGGCGCTGAATAAACTTGCAGCCGGTGCACGTATATGTTGTAGATGTGGTTCCCTCTCCTCTTCCGTTGCCACTGGGTATAGCAGACGATGCTCCTACGTTGAAGCGTTGAAGCTCCCGCTGCCAGCGATGTCAGTGACGACGGTGAGAATACGGGGTGGTAGGGAAGTGAAGTAAGAGCGCTGAAAGCTCGCCAGCACCCCGATACCGGAGCTGGGCAACAGGAGGATCTGTGTGTTTCATCCGAGCATCACTTTCTCAAATCGAACGAGCAGTGGCAGGGCTCAAGTCGCGCGGTACGTCCGTCTATTTGCCAAGTCATATATTTTCCGGCAAACCAGACTTCGCTCTTCACTCTTCCTCCCTAACTTCTGGCTCACACGCTGGCTCATCGTTCTATCGATATCGCCATCGCCATCGAATTCGGCGGCGGCTGCGGCAGCAGCAGCGTAAGCCATCCGGAAATTGAAGTGTATGGAAACAATCTCGCAGGCGTTAAACGTCGGTTGACGTCGGAGCAGCTTCCAGTAGCCGGGCCGTGACATCAAGAAAAAGAAGAACAGCGACGAGCAAGCACGCCGGCCCCCGTCAGCTCTCAGCGTAAGTGTGTTACGATGTTACGGGTGGCTCGGTGGCGGGACGCTTGTCATTCGATCCTTGGAATCAGAACAGCGTGTTTTCCTTGCTACTCCTCTACTGATATTACACTCTCGCTGATACTGCTGCTCCCACTGATCGTTAAATCACCGTTGCTGCAGATTATTTGGCTTCCACTACCCCTATCGCTTACTGCTGCACCTGTGAAGTGAAGAGTTTTGTGTGAAGGTACCCACCCACAACCATGCGTGCTCATCGAATGAGTCTACGATTGATCTTTTTGGGGTTGTGCGCTTTTAGTCAGGTGGCTGCTCCAGTGTCTGCCAGCAACAACAAAAACAACGACGAGATGGGGTTCCGACTCGCTACGGTTGACGAGGAACTTGTGCGTTGCATGGACGGCGATGACATACTCCTCGATTCCTATCTGACAGCCTACCGGGAGATATTAAAAATCTTCAAAGAGATGGGAACCATATTCAATTTCGTCACTAACGACTTAGAGGACAAAATTACAATTCTCGAAGACTATCGAACGCGCAACGATGTAGGTGAGTTCCAAGCGTAGCCGACTCTAAGCGAGAGAAACTTCCAATCTCCGTCGCGATCAGTGTTGAATCGAGCTTTAGCGGTTGATGCCGTAAAGGTGTCCTGGTTGGATCGGGTTTCTTGGAAGAACCTGCTTCTTTGTTTCTCGATCTTATTCGTCTCGTATTCGAGACTTACTCGTCTCCGCAGAGCTGTGGTCAAGGAGCGCGGGCTGAGCCAAACCATCCGGGTCGGTGTGCATGAGGCTTTGCTGGGGAACTTGATATCGAAATTTCTTCCAGGCACTTATTCGAGTTTCCTAATGACTGCAATGTTTCAGCCGAGCATTTCACTTCTCTGGCAAGCATGATCTCATACGAGTTGAGTAATGGGGCAACAAAGATTAGGAACCCGCCCTCGGGTTGCAGAACCTGGCTCCGACTTCACCGAGCGTTGGAATTCGTCTCGATGTTCTTCGCGAAGCTCGCGACCGTGGATTTTGAAGAGAAAATGACGAGTCTGGCACAAGAATGCTACGAGCGAACTCTGGCGAAATATCATGGCTACTTAGTGAGAAAGGTTTGTATGAATCTCACGAGGAAACAGCTCATTTAGGTGCCGAGAGAAAGAATCATCGTGATTGATCAGTGATTCGTTTCATGGTCTGGATCTCCCCGTTTGCGCTCACCGATTCACACAATTGCCGGCGTCCTGTCTCGATGGGCGCCACCACCGTTCGAATTCGGTTTCGCTCATTTCTTATGGTTGTGTGGGGCGAACGCAATTTTCAATGGAGGAGGCGAGGGGGTGCCTGGGAACGCGCCGTCGCCAGACTCCTGAGAAATACGTACAGTATGTCCCTGGCAGAGGCTGTGTATCCGTATGTTATGACGGATTCATTGAGGACGAACGTTCCATGGAGCCACGAAAGTTCGGTGTCTCCGTCGTATCGTGCTCCGTGTTGCCGCGACCTCTGAGGTGATATAGTTCGGATGAGCAGGTCCGGACTGATTCATGAGATGTCTTCTGGCTTAATAATATGACACTGCCGACTCTGACTGAGTGGGTTCATGGTCTTCTTTCCAGGGAGCGTCTTTCGCGATGTATGCTTTACCTACGGTCGACGCGATGTTCACAAAAGCTCAGGACGATAAAAAGGATGTCCGTAGACTACTGAACAGCGTCGGCGCGAACGCAGGTCGAGTTTACGACCTAACACAGAAGATGTTTGAAGCCAAAGGGCTCTTGAGCCTACCTTAACAAGGCTGCGGCACAGCTTCGGGCCCGGGAGAATCTCTTCACCTGTGACATCAATCGCACGGTATCTTCAGAGTCGATGGGGCAAATGATCAATCGACTCTATATATTGACTTTCACGGAAATCTGATAAGCTTCAGACGTATGGATAGAGCGTTTTTCCAAAGATCACAAGAAGCCGATAGCAAATGACTGAGTGAAACTCTGAGAGTTCAGATTTGCTCATATTTATACACACATATCTTCCCTCATTATATGGGGATACGGCATACGGCGACGAGCTAGGCACGGAGGAAGATATCTCAGAAGACAGAGAACGATGCACTTCCCTTCTAGTCCGGATCTTGAATCTTCAAGAGGTTCTCGTCACCGTAGCGGGGGTGTTTCTTGAAACAGACTCAAGATTCATTGATTTTAGTCAGAGAGAAGATAAGCCATATAGAGACATGTTTTGGAATTACTGCGGAGAGAAGAATATTTCCTTTCGCACGGAAGTCAAGTGCTAAATCTCAAATAAAAACTCTCGTCCATTCAACGAGACAATGACAGAGTTGAGTATTTTTTTTGAGCTCATATGTACATATGGATGACGCGTTCGGGCTTCACTGTCGAGCCCGAAAGCTCAGTATGTATATCCCCAGAGTAGAACACCAAACCGGGGGGATTCTTTCTCCCTTCAATCTTAGAATGCTTTCTGTCTAAAAATATCACAAAATAGGTGATCGACCATTCATTCGTAGTCGACTTCAAAAATGTTTTCGTTGTCTCTCATGTATTTAATGAGGAGATCGAGATGGTATCTCAGGGCATCGGCCTTCGGCTGTGCCATCTTCAGGTGAGGGACGATGTGAGGAACTCGGTGAAGCAGTCTCAATAAGTGTATCGCTCCGTAAATTTGCGCTGGGCATAGATGATCCTCGGCCATCCGCCATTTCTTGACACTTTCTAACACGGACGTAGCGGGTGAAGTGATCGTGGTGGTCCACGACGTTATGGTGGCGCTATCGCTGTCGTCGGCGTCACGTTTCAAGGTTCCCGAAGCTATTGAAGCGTGCTGGGTGGATATCCGGAGGGACCTGCCGCGGTGGGTCTCGTTATCCCAGGCTTGAGGGATTTTATTCGCGATAAAACTGTCCTCGAGCTGGGCGAGCAACAGGTCCAATTCGCGGGTCTGGCGACTTTTCTTCTGCTCCTGCTGATCTTTGTGTATGACAATGTTGTCCAACGAGTTGAACTGTTCCTGTTCCTCATCGTAGAGGAGTATCAGACCGCATAGATTGTTGAACAGAATCCGGAGACCGTCTACCGTCTCTTTACACAGCTCTATGCTAGTTCTCCGTTGACAATTCGTATCTCCACCGAGCCGGGGTCTCTTGGGCGATTCGCAAGAACGGACAAACCGAACCTGGAAAGCGTAGTGGTGGGCATAGTTCTCGAGTATCGAGACTATGTCCTGACTGCAGGGGAGTTTGTGCAGTTTCCCTGCTTTGATCGCATCGCGATCGGCGGTCAATCTCTCCAAGAGGTTTTCCGGCAGAGCCATCGGGAAGCTCTCACACTGCGCCTCATCTTCGCTCTCGTCCTCGGAGCTGTCTCTCGAACTTTCACTGACAATCGATGAGCTCCCGTTTTGTTTTCGTTTTTTTTTGGTCAACAGTTTTTTGGCTTCTGTGTTGAGCTCGTTTTGTAGTTTCCGGTTGGCTTCTGTGTCATGTAGAAGGTAATCCGCCGAGATGTAACGATCCCACGAGGAACTCCAACCGAGAAAATGGATGAAATACTCCATGCGCTTGTTACGACGTGTCGTTCTGAGAATTTTCGCGTCGTAGAGAACCCGCAAGCGCGTCGGATCTGGTTCGTAGCATAGCACACGCTCGCCTTCTCGGAAGATACCTTTTCGGTCCGAGCTCGACTCTGAGCTCCTGACCGCGCCTCCGCTCTCACCTAAGGAAGAAATGATCGAGAATAGTGAATCGACATATCTCTTCCGTCCGTAGGTTCCCCGCGCCACAAGTTCCCGCCTCAGCTGACAGCGAGGGCCTGCCATAGAGACTAGCGCCAGAGTATCCGCCGAAATGCGTATCGATCCGTCGGGAACGACTCGATAGCAGAGTCGTCAGAGATCCTCCTTCCGGAAAATCCGAGTCGCGTCAAGATCCGGAGAGGGACCAGACCAAGCGAGACCGCAGAGGTTCGAAAAGTCCGAAGTTCGCGGGTCGGACCCTCACAATTCGAACGCAATAAGAATAGACAGGAGTACTTACGGGCGGATTCCATTGACGTTCTACGTCGTGTTTAGCAATCCCGTGACCGCGGTGAAGCGATGAGATGCGTACAAACTACTCGGTTGCCTCGCCACTTCCGTTGGTCAACGTCTCGGCGAGCGACTGCGATAACTCACAAAAGAGAAATCGGTGCAGAGGAGCACCACACACCGCGGCGAGAGTGCCTCTCCGCCGCCAAATTGAAAAATTCCCGCCGCGCGCGCCGATCAAGACTCATCGACAAATCGAAGCGGAATATCGCGGATTCTTCTCTAATTTACATGTCGCAGTCGGCATCGGAGGCGAGCGAATTCCGGCAAGGATTTCGTGGTGTGATCGGGAGCAACGAAACGAAATATGAAATCAGGATCGAGTCCGGGACGACTCCAGCGCCCCCTACGGAGCCCGGAGCCGTGCTCTGTCTTCATCAGTAAGCTTGTTTATTTCAGTAGAGGGCGGAGATGGCGTCGGGTGCAGCAGGCAATGGAACACAAGCTTCCTTGGAAGATATGCTGAGTACCGATGTCGACGAATCGGTCGTCAACGCGTTGAAAGGATCTCTCGAGTCACAACTCTGCGATGATCCGACCCAGGCATCGATTGGAACGGCTCAGTTTCAGCCACCGCAGCAGCAAGCTCAGCAGCAGCAAGCGCCACAACAACCGTTGCCGCCGCAAGGACAACAACAACAGCAGCAGCAAACCACAATTGTCGCCCCTGCTCAGCATTTCCAAGTCGCTACCACCTCGGCCATCACGACATCTACCGGTGCAGTTATAACGACCGCTCAACAAATGCAGACCGTGTCCGCAGTCCCGGTAACAGCTGGCGGTCAACAGCAGCTGAGCGCCATGCACAACCTCGCAAATGTTGCATCTCAGCAGTCACCGATCGTCGTGCAAAAACCTCAGGTACTTCAGAGTCTGGATCATTATCTCGATTGGGAGACTTCCATAGGGGGGTTCACAGTGCGAGGTGATTATTGAGAAATCATTGCGGCTCGAAACGCGGGCCCTGTGTCAGCAGAGAGTTCGAGGATACTGGGCCCGCCTCGCTAGTGTGAGCCACTATCTCATCCCATGATCACTTCGTGATTCAGCTGAGTATCCGACGGTCGAAATCTGGGCGACGGAAGTTAGTTCAGTTTCTCTCTCTGGTGAGAGGACCCAATATCGATTCGAATATCGCGCTCGCAAGAGCGTCGCACTGTGAACGGAGTTTCCGTTGTAGTAGAAACCAAAAATCGGATTCGCTTGGCCTAGTAACGACCGACAAAACTTTCAAAGGCACAGTTTGACGAGCGTAGCGCCAATCGCCGGAGAGCACTTCTCGAACCCAGAAAAAAAAAACTCCGAAGAGTAGAGTAAATTTCGAATCTCGTCACGTGTGACGTGTTCCACCTGAGCTGAAATGTGATTCTCCGCCACGGGCTTCTCTACCGGTGTTTTTGACTTTCCCGGTCTCCGTCGTGTGAGGGTCGATCGGCTCGTTTATCTCTTTGTCGATATTTTCCTTCGGAGTTCTTCCGTTGCTGCGCTTTCCCCGCAACAGGTCTGTTCGCGTGAGCGACACGCAGACCCTTGGATAGGATGGAAAACAGGCATGCCGGTGGTGTGCAGGCTAGGGCAGCAAGCTTAGGAGGCGACGGTTCCGCTCGCCAGACTGTTGAGAGAAAGGGAACATGGCGGGCTCTAGAGCAAATCCCTCGCACCTTCATTCGAACGAACACCGGACGGGCCTTCGGGGAGCGAGAACCGAATCGAGGATTTTCGCGTATATTCCCGGGATGCGTTTCCAGCGAGTGCTTCAATAAGACTTGTGAGTTCATGGCAAACAGTTCGGGTGTCGTCAGGATTTACGGACTTCGTGGATTTGGCTCGTAGAATCGTGCATTTCGTGGAGGATTCGCGCGCAATTCCCGCTTTGGGTCGTTTTCTTGTGGCCCCTGCTTGCGTATCCTCGTGCCGTCCACCTACATCCAAGTCTTCTGAAAATGCGAAGCGCGCCCAATGTTCGACCGACCATTTTTGGCGAATTTTACATGTCCTATATCTCGACTGGGAGGCGCAAACCAAGTTCTCTAAATTGTAATTGATGCGAGTGCTGAACTGTCTCCGCACGCCCGAATTCCATGTCTGGGGAGTCAGAGTCGTTAAATCGTCCACCGTTGTCCCGAATGCGCCGACCGAAAGGACCGAATTAGCCAGACTCGTAGGCTGTCGGTAAGGTCTTTTGTTTGGCGTAATCTCAAATAGCGGCTATTCTGTGAGGATAAGAGGCTTCCGTGTTGGCAGCAGCAGGCTCCCTTGCCAGCCATCATCCTTGTGTACTCAGATGATGCCCAAGTCCCTGTTTCCGAGCTCCTCATGCCCAAGATCGCCGACATTGCCGCCGGCTGATCTATTCCGTCGACGAATCCTATATCGTGCTGTATCGAATGAGTGTCGGAACAAATCGACGGTCGAGCTGTTGGACACGCGGACACGCCGAGCGGATAGAGGACGCTCAAACAGTCCCTCCGTGCATCGACTCCGCTTTCTTGGAAGGATCGATATTAATCGATAAAAAAATTCAATGCGAGAAACTGTGTCACGTGACCCAGTCGATCCCGAACGCCTGGTCACTTTTCCGCTCTCTTTCTCACCGAACTCGCATCAATCGTTCACCATCGCGGGATATGGGGATATAGTTTTTATGTAGAACTCGCGCCCTGTACCACGCGTCTAGTCGTCCTCGAGTCTCCAGCATTGATACATTTGTGAGCAATACCCGCAGAAGAACTACAATATTGATTCTCCCCCAGATCCACGTACAGGTTCGACCCGAGAGCGAGAAACAGACCCAGCCGACTGGGCTTCAACTCGTCAACGTGCAGAGAAACATCAAACCCGCCGGACCGAGAGTGATCCTCTCGCAGCCCATCAGGATGGCGACCAGTCCACAAGTCATTCGCACTTCGGTATGCAGGCAATCAAATAATATAAAATCGAACGCACTATAATCTCTTTCCTATATCATGAACTATACTCACCTATATACCCATTCGTATCATTGAATATTTATCATCCCCGTAAAAAAAAACTGAACATGAACGCGATGACGAGTTGTTCACATGCTCCGGACGACTCCTTCAAGATCAAACCGAGAAGAAAAGAATGTTGAGCGATATATGAACGGAGTTAATCGTTATCGATTTCAATGGTTCGACTTCGTCTGCAGCAGCAGACGCGGATAATAACGCCTCATTCGATGGTGGCTGCCGCTTCGATGCATCCTGTCCAGCAACATCACCACCTGCATCAGCAGCAGCAGCAGCGCGTTGTGCCGATATCGAACCACATGCAGCTGCAACATCAACAACAACAGCAACAACAGCAGCAGCACCAACAGCAACAACAACAACAGCATTTGTATTACTCTCACCCGGCTCAAATCAGTCATCGACCTACTCAGCATCCTAGTCAGTACTACCGATTCCCGGTGCAGCACCATCAGTATCCTGGTTCTCAAATGGCTGCTGTGAGTCAGCATCAACATCAGCAGCAGCAGCAGCAGCAACAGCACAGTTTATACCAAAGAAATGGTGCTTACATACCTCATCCATCTAGTCACTGGTCTCGTTCCAACAACTCTAGTCCGTACAATATGATGCCGACAGCCTCGTCATCACAGCAACAGCATCAACAACAGACCCATATGAATAACAATCGTTTGCCGATGAGGCAAAACGGTCCCTCGTGGGACGACCACGTAGTGGGGATGCCGATGACGTCCATGTACAATACCGGGGGCCATCCAGTTGTCGGTAGCGGCGGTGGACCCGCGGCAGGTGTACGCATGATGGGACCTCCTCCGCAACCGCACCCTCCCCCATCGTCGCCGTCGACAATGAATCGGATGTTAATTCGTGAACGCCCACCTCCGTCGGCCTTCCAGGGACATCGCAGAGAGGACGTAAGTAGCGTAAGAACTTGTAACTGGGTTCACCGTTGCCAACACCAATCTCAATCATTCACTACTGTCGTTGTCGCCATTAATTGTCAACTTGTCCGAGCGTTCGAGTCGCTATCGCTGGATAGAGCGATCGCTCGCTCCGGTCGACTCGAATCCGCTAACGACGAGGACGACGCCGTGGCAATGGTGTCTTTGTCCGCTATCCGCAATTGAATTGGCATATATGCAATGCGCGCAACGGCAGCAGCAAGCAATACGCAAAAACCCAACCACCACCATGATCACCACCATCACCACCGCAACCCACAATCCCCCACTTCGCTCTGACGTCGAGCTTCTCGTTCGTTCGTCCATCTGTTCACCAACTCACTCAAAGACCAATGTAGTCGAGCAAGAATATCGAAGTCGGGCTGCTGACTTTAAGCGTCGACTTGTCGATCGATCGGTCGAGCTGTGTCTCCCTTGCATATTTTCTCGCGCTTCCTTCTATCGAATCATCACTAATTACAATGATTGTCGTCATTGATGATTTCGCTTCGCTCTCTCTCTCTCACAAAACCTCACTTTCCCCCTTGTTCATTTCCATTTGGGGTTTCAGCTCCTGGGAGGAAAGCTGCCGCAACGCTAGGAGGCGAGACCTCCTCGTCCGTCTATCGCTGTAGTTTCTTCCGGGGACCGCTCTAGTGAACAGTGACGTTCCGAGTAGCACGGAATCCCGTCCGAGTCATTTCGGCTCTCGGGAGCCGTTCCCCGCGCGGGGCGACTGCGAGGTTGGAACAGCGAGCTCCTCGGCGCCGCCCCCTCCTCCCTTTCAAGAATTCGATCCTATTCTGCTCACGGAAAACTCATAAAAAACCCATGAGCTTAGAGTGAAAATCGATTTTCCATTCCGATGCTTCGGAGCTGGTGCTGAGACTTCGGTTGCGTTCACTTTTTCAACTTGATTTCACCTACCGGAAATGAATGGGGCCCTCTCTGAACACTCCATGGATATCGCGGCAGATCATTCCCGGAACATTCAGCGGCGAGACGCGGTGTGGGAGCGAGAATCCCATTTGGTAATCCGGAACGGTCGACGAAGCTTGACGTTGGAGTCTAGTGGAGTTCGTATGGTGGCGGTTGTGTGAGTCGGGGTGGTGGTATTCGCTTTGTGGTTTCGCGTTTACTCAGCAGTTCGCTCAGATTGATCTCAAGAAAAGCAGATAATGGGGAAGATTCGACTCCCTGGGAGCCCTCCCGGAGCAACATGCGACAGCGCTACGATTTAACTCGCGCACAGCGTCGTGAGGGTGCTCGACGCACTCGCCCCGTCGGGTCGCCAATAAGCCAAGATCTCTTGCAAAGATCTCTCTTGAATCAATCGAGCTGCGGCGAAAAAAATTATGAAGCAATCGCTTAATCAATCAGAATTAGAGTCAGTCACTCATCCGATCAATCAATCAATCGATCATTCCCATCCCCATCCCATTTTTGTACGATCTTTCGATTTCCGGGTGTTGGTCTCCGTGTCCCAGCTCTGTCCTCTCTGCTGTCCTGGGTGATTCGAACTCTGAAGATCCTTCCCCGCTGCCCCTTCGACATCTACATCAACAACCACAGCGACAACAGCAACGTCAGAATCAACAACGACAACCACGACGGAGAAAGGCAGTCCTGCGGAATTCAGTGTAGAAACTCCTTATCTCGTCCTCTCTGTAATTCTCTATGCCTTGGTGGACCGTCGTGGTAGAGTCCCCAGAGAACTTCCTGCCCGGTTCGCGCTGGTTGAATTTTCTCGCTCACTGAGTGGTCCCGATCTTTTGATGCACCGAGTGGAGTCGAACGAAATCGAAAACTCTGATTTCTCTATCAATTCGTCGCCGTCGTCCGGAGCCTCGTCATCGCGAGCGTGTTCAGCGGGGGACCTTTGAGTGACCCCGAGTGACACTGTATGTCCCGATGGCCTCCTTGCAGAACATCACCTTTCAACAGAGCGTCCAGCTTCGTCCTGGCACTCTGTTGATGCGTCACGACCAGTCGGGTCAATTCCAGTTGGTGAACATGGCTAACATTGGCCAGCCACGACTCACGATTCCCGTATCGACGCCAGCTGTTGCCAAAAGGCCTGGCACACCGCAGGTAGGCGACGACATCTTCTTCTTAGGCGGCGGCTGCTGCAACTGAGCCGCGACTGCGAGAACAAAGAATGCGAACGGATGACAAAAATCCGTGCCCAGACTCCGCTGACGACAGATTCTGCCGTTAAACGTCTTTCTTGAGTTCGTGTCTTGCAATTCTTGCCCACATCCTCCCCGGACCCCGATCGCTCCTAGAGCGACTCGATCCCCCATCCTGCTGCCGTCTTTCTGCCCCGCCCCCTCCTGAGTACCCACATAGAAAAGTAGAGCACTCACGCTTGCTAGCTTGCACGAATTCTCTCGAACCTCTCGTGTGTTTGTTCTTGGTTTCCCCGTATGCTCGATCTCCCAGTTGTATCTACGTCGCTTTCCCGTATCCCCTCTCGAAATATCAGTATCCAAGTTATGACTGGAAGTTGCGCTCAAGATAAAAGCGAATGATAGGATTTGCCGCGAACCTCTAAAATAATTCAAGAATTCAACGCTCTAATTGGTCGAGATCTACACCTCGCTGATCGGCTCGCATGATCAAAATCGTATCTCATGGCGTTGTTGTGCTCAGTCTGCGAAAAACCCAAAAGTAAACTTCGATTCCCATCGCACTCTCAAGCAGCACCGAAATATCGTTTCGAGATATTGTTTGTATACCTAATCTCTTCAATATGTTCAGGCTCGAGTCCGTGTGCGTGTAGATTCTTCGCGTAGATCGGGAAAGAAAAAGCAGTTAAGCTCCAGGATGGGCCATCGGAATCCTCGATCTCGCTGCTGGAGAACTGCTTTTATTTACTATTTTTGGGAACTCTCCAGCTCCGACTCTCTTCTCTAAGAAACTCTTGATGGGTCGCGAGGAATATTCCGGTCCCATCCGTTCGGGCTTCCCCCCGCCCGAGTTGTTCGATGGGAGAAAGGTCCTCCGATGTTATCTAAGTTATTCTCGTACGCCTCAGGTCGTTATCCATCCGACGTCTTCGGGTCAGGTTGTCATGCAGCCTGGGACAACGATGGCCGCTCCTCCTGTCAAACCTCTCACGGTACAAACAAGTCATTCCGGTAACGTGCAGAATTCAGGAAGCACTCAGAACACAGCATCCCAAATGTCTCCGAACACAGCCAAGAAAAAGTGCAAAAACTTCTTAGCCACTCTGATCAGGCTTGCGTCCGATCAGCCAGAGCAGACGGCGGCCAACGTCAAAGGTGGGTCATGCAATCCAATCGCAGTCCGGACTTTCTCCCCATGAGCCTCGCGGGACCTTGATCCAAAAATCACTCAGATATGACGAGGCTCAGGATATTGTTCCTCGGTTCTGCATAGTCTAATATTTTGGTGATGATTTCCCGAACAGCTCTCATCCAAGGTCTCATCGACGGTAACATACCGCCGGAAGACTTCACCACGCAGCTGCAGCGGGAACTGAATTCGTCTCCGCAGCCTTGTCTGGTGCCTTTCTTGAAGGTTCGTCTCAATTCGCACCCCATCTTTGATTTCGGCCATCTTAGGGAATGAGAAGCAAACCTGCATACCATGACGAAAGACTTCCGGGTTTCCCTGACAACACTTTCTGACATTTCAGAAAAGTCTTCCGCATCTGCGACAGTCTCTCATGACGAAAGAGCTTTCGATAGACGGAGTTCGCCCACCGCCTCCAGGATCGTTGACGATAGGTCAACCAGGGGTTCCTCAAGCCATCATTCGCTCCGCTCCCACGACTACCGTCCGACTTCTCCATCCCACCCGGATGGTCACCGTAACGGTAGGTTTTGCTGCTTGAAGCTTTATGCTTCTCCGCCGCGAATGACTTCGATAGCGTCCGACTCGTCCGATGTGACGAGCACGACGAATTTCACGAACATGATCTCGAAATGTTCGGGCAAAGTGGAACGACGACAAAGCATCGGTCTCCGCTTTCAGCCCTCACCTAGAGCCATCCTGAACACTGGCCACATGATCTCAACCGGGATGACGAAGAGCATCGTTGTCCAAGCGCCGACGCCGAACAAGCCAATGAAGGACATCATCGCCAAGCCTGTCGTCCAGCAGAAACCTCCTGGAGCCGCGCCGAAACCTCAGGTGATTCGGAGCGTTGTCACCGCGGGTCCGAACGAAAAAGTTCGATACGGCTCGGCGCTGCGCGAGGACGACGACATCAACGACGTCGCAGCGATGGGTGGTGTGAATCTCCAGGAGGAAAGTCAACGAATTCTGGCGAGCAGTGACATCGTCGGAGCGACAAGGAGCTGCGGTGACGACGTTTTCCTGAATAGCTCGGCTCTCGAGAAGCGAATCCATGTGATCGCGAAGAAGCACGGTCTGGATTCGGTCGACTCCGACGTCATCAAACTCATGTCCCATGCGGTTCAAGAAAAATTGAAGGGTTACATCGAGCGATTGAATATAATCAGTGAGCACCGAGCTGAGCCCCCGGCGTTCAAGGCCGAACCAGCGAAATTCGAACCCACCAGCGATGTCCGATCTCAGCTCCGATTTCTGGACGAGCTCGACAAATTGGAGAAGAAACGCCACGAAGAGCACGAACGAGAGTTACTCATACGAGTGGCGAAGTCTCGAAGTAAAGTCGAAGATCCAGAGCAGCAGAAATTGAAACAACGAGCCAAAGAGGTTTGTTGAACGATGGGAATCACAGCGAACGTTGACCTCCCGTAACATCGATTCACGGAGAAAATGATCATCCGGATACCTCCATCTCTGACGAGGAATCGACTCACAAGAATTCTCTAACTTGAATCTCTTCGTTTATAGATGCAAAAAGCTGAAATGGAGGAAATGAGACAACGGGAAGCGAACAACACCGCGCTCCAGGCCATCGGTATCCGGAAGAAGCCGCGTTTGGACGGAGGCCTGGGGGCCTCGGGACCGGGCGGCGCTAAAGTTCTCCGACCACGGATCAAGCGCGTGAACATGAAGGACATGCTATTTATGTTAGAGAGTGATAAGCACTGGATGCGGAGCAACTTTATTTATAAGAGTTACTTGAAGTGAGCGGAAGAGCAGCGAGCGCTCCGGAACTGTCGCTGGCGATCTCTCTGAATCCGCGGGGCCATTTTGCCGCGGTTTTTTCTACCTGCCCTTGTTGAAGTGAGAAAAGATAATCGTTTGTATATCTCCAAGCTTCCCCATTACCGGCGATTCACACTCCGTCGTTGAACATACATATATGTAGGTTGTCAGACCACGAGGCCGTTTTGTATAGAAGTGCAATCAATCACTTTGTTCCGAGAACTTCCGAAAGGCATGGATTTTTATCAGGTTCGTTGTAGAGTGTACCGAGCGCTGTTGGGGCGGAGCGCGATGTGCGTCGACGAATATTTCGAACGGAGCGAGGCGGATTATCAGGAAATGACATCTGGTCACGTCTACAAGAACTGCTCGGAGGAACGACAAATACTATTCTCGACTTCGATTGTGAATAAAAATTATCATGGAGAACATGGTGAGAATCACGGCAAGGCATCGTTCGTTCGGATCAAGCTCATATGTAGATGAAGAGTTCGATCTGATTTACAAGGCATGTCCAGGGTCTCCATCTTTGGTTTGCTTATTTCTTGATCAATTCCGCTCCCGGAGCGGGTCGCGACGTTTCTTACTTGCGTATGAGAATCCGAACAAAAGGGCTATAATACACGGCATCTCACAATCATCGGATATTGACTCGTCATGATCATACAGCTGGGGGAGGGAGGAATCAAACCTATTCATCTTCTAATGATTTGCCTCTGATCTGAGAAGTTGATGAATCCTCCAGGGTTGCACCGGTACCTATACCTAGCTCCGTGAGGTACCGTCCCAGATGCCCGGTGGGCACTCTCCTCCTAGTTGGGTACAGAGCCGGAGAGTTCTCCGGGATGTCGGGCATTCGATGCCGTGAAGAGCCAAGTGCTGGAGTTTGATGAAGGTGTGCTGGGAAGGCCTTGCCTCCGGAGGTAAATTAAGGCCCGAAGTACTTGGCTCGGTCGATTGACCAGTGCCTGCAGTACCCTAAAAGATGAGGAGCTCCATTTAACTGATCGCGCAGCAGCGGCAGCAAGCAAATCAGATTGTCCACCGTTGTTCGTCTAGACTTTATAGACTCTGAGGAGAGTTCCGGCTTCACCTCATCCCGACCTCTCGCTAGGAGGCGCTTCAAAGAAAGCAAGACGCAACGGCGCAATGGCATCCTCCGACTGATGTAATTGAGACTGGAGACTCTGTCTCGACCCGTTGAACGCAGCCAAGCTCGATGCCGATATGACGCCCGAGATTCCGGGGCACCCGTTGCACCGATGACAACGAATGCGAAGGATTCGGATGGTTAGTGAGGATTGACGAATTTCCAGCTTCCGATGTATGATTACACGTCAATATTGTTATAGTGGGAGAAGAACTGAACGTCTTTTCGATGCACTCGCTAACGTTTCCCGAGCCTCCCGGAGCGGCTCCTCAAACGAGTATTCGCGTCCTGCCGGCTTGTCCAGTTTGAGCGGTTTGCCGAGACTCAGAGTGGGCGATCATCGCGCCGCGTCGTATGCGGCCACATCTAGGAATCATTTCAAGACTCGAATCGTTGTTATAATATGCATCCGATGATGTTTAGGGAGATGGTCAGCAAGTCGAATGTCAGTGTTTCCCCGATCCTCTCGATGCCGCGTCCCTCTATCCTATAATCATAGGATAGAGACCGCTGCGCTGGTATTTTTAGGCTCTCCTCTTTTCTTCGAAATGCGCGCCTTCTAGGGGACTCACGTGCACCGAAAAATACGTAGGCGATCGATCTCGGTCGGCAGAATTCAGAACCTGTCACTCTAGGCTCGACGCCCGGTCTCATGCAGTCGACACTGCTCACTCGAGTGTACCGTTGTATAGGCTTGGAAAGATGCGTTCCGGACGAGGAGCCGCCTGGAACCGGAGCTCGGATTGCAGAATGTCGCGGAGGCGCAAGTTCGGCGAAACGTCAGTTACGAATTCTTCTGTGCATTGCGAACGCGTTTTGTCGGAGGCTGTGACGAATTCCTGTATGTGATTCTCTTCCTCCCTCCCCCCAGGAGATGAAGGCCGCATCCAGTCCGTACTTCCCGGCGAGGCTCGGATGGCTGTAGGAGCCCAGAAGGTCGCGAGTAAAGGTATGAATCATGAACTTTCCCGCCGCTTAAGGTGACAATAAGCAGCTTCCGATATCATCCGCTCAACTGTCTCCTCCAGGAATGCAAATGGGAGATCTTCCTCAAACCCGCTCCATATTCTCCGATGGGGGAACTTCAATGGCCACCGAGGACCCGAAAAGTTAGTTAAGATCTTTTCCTCTTATTCAATCGTTTCTGTCCAGACTCGATCCGTTCTCCCAATGTCCGAGCTTAATTCGAATCGGCCAACTTTGCAGGTTTGTTCTCTGCTACCAAATCCCTCATCACTGGAGACGATATCGCAACGGACGCTACCAGCACGTCAAACGACGAGGATTTTTCCACTACTTTCGAGGGATATCCGCGTCACTTAGTGGTTGGAACCGTCAAGTCGGGTCCCACTGCGAAGATTACAGAGTTGGTCCCTTCTATGATTCTTCGGTGAGAATCTATACTCCATACCATCGTGGACGTTCGTACAACAGACCTCACGCTTTGTCGCAGGTGCTGTCTCATTCTTGGAGTGCTCTCTTTGTTCTTCATATTGGTTCTCGGCATCTTCGCCAAATATTTCTCGAGGGAAGCGCCGACATCTGCCGCTACCGAAATCGAGACGCACGAGCCGACAACTCGACGCACTCTCGACCCCTACCAACCGTGGTGCAAGGGCGCTATTGCGAGCAAAGCTCCATTCAGAACCGGAATCCGAATAATTCGATATTTCGAGCAGGCTGCGACGGTGAACGTCCAACGGGTATGTTCACGACCGAACTCGTTCCGGAACCTGGTTCGGATCGTTTCGGCATCGTTCCCGATCGGGGAGGAAGTGATTGGAAGCGGATATCTCTCACCGAGCGAGCGAACTTCCTCTTGAACACAGGTCGCACTGAAGCTGAAGTGGGAAAGCGAACGATACAGAACCGCAGGAGTTTTCTTCCTGCGTGATGGGATTGGATATTTCCTCACGGACAATTTCAAAGATTCTGAGGGATTCACTTTCCACCGTTTGGTTCTCAGCGGTGGGAACGAACAGGACATGAAGTGAATATTTCCATCTTCACTCCACCTTGTGCATCTTTTCTTGGGATCTGCCTCTAGTCGAGATGGTTCCAATTGATACTGTCGATTTAATTACGACAGGCGAATACAGGACGGCGGATTAAGTTTCTTCCTCACGGGTGACACTCTTATCGCAAATCTGGATAAGGATCGAGTGCTAGGTGAGATCATCTTGACTGCCTGATCGGCTCCCGACCCGCGATGAGGTGTGTCGTATTTCAAGAGGGCCGTTCTGGACTGCAGTGGTAAAACTCGCTAAACTCCAGGGAACACGATCAGCTTCGAGTTCTTCCTCCATCAGCATGGCTCCTCTTGTGCTCTTATTCTGGGCAAAGCTCAAGAAGCGATCACGCGAAAAACGAATCTCGTGAGTTCCCTCTTCCCCCGGCCAGTTAAGCATATTTTCATCGGATTCCCCGCGTTGCGATACTCGCAGATATCTGAATTAGAGTCCTTTCTTCAGACAAATGTGGATGACTTCTTTGTGTACACCAATCCTAAGCATAACATCACCGGAGTTTATTATAATGCGCCTCCCCCCCGACGAAGGAAGAAACGCGATATCCCTCAAAGATACCTATCGGTTGAATCTCTTTCAAGACTGAAACGCCAAATGGAATCTCAGCCGGACGTCTATATATCGTGTTACGTTTTCGCCGAGGATTCGAATATGTGCTACACCGGTCACGTACTGGAGTCTTGCAAAGAAACGAAACCTGTTTATATCAAAGCCTGAGAACGTTGACATACAGTATTTTGTTTCCGACCTCAGGAGATCTCAGTCAATAATAATAATTGGGAATCGTAGCGCTATCAAACGGAATTCATAATCCTAATCAAAGGACTGCGGCGCGAGAGGTCGCCTAAATCTTACATCGATGGGTTCTGCGACGATCTCGCTCCTGTTCGCCGGAGGCCTCCACCGAGCAAGCTCTGCATGTGCCTGGCGTCTATTTTCTTCCGCTTAGGGGACTGCACTGAACCTTGCGGAAAATTGTCCACCCTGTCGTCGAGCCCGCGGACTCACTCACGCTTCTCTGATCTCGTGAAATATGTCAAGTAGCTGTCATCACTCGAAGGCGTCTCTGAATCGCTCTTCCGATCGCTCAGAATTATCCAAGCATTGGATATGAGCCTTGAATGTACTCGAGCAACACCGACATTCTATGCCGGGGAATTCAGGGTCGGTTCGGGTTATTAGCTCTGCAGCTCAGCTACGAAAGTCGCATTGTTGAAATTGATCAGCGGCAGTCAGAAGCCCTTCCAGATCACAAAAAGTACGCTGACAGGTGAGCGCAGGATCCGCTGAGCTGACTCGCGCCGAAGTGAGTGCTTGATTCAGTGCGCATCCCTCAATCCGATACAAATGAATCATTGAACTCCGCTCCCTCAGCAGAATCCCTGTGGAAAGCTCGAACGAGGATTCGGATGGGGCACCCAAGCCATCCGAAATATGAGAAGCGTGAGACCGATCTGCGTAATTCCTGAATCCGAAACCGACAGCGATGATCGGACGATTGTCTCATGTTTTTTCGGGTTTACGCATCCCTCACCTTGCCAGTCTGCTCCATCCTTCATCCTCGAAGTGTGTAGAGCGCGTGGCCTTCCTCGCAACTGTATAGACAAGTGGATCAACCTGGACACGCGACCGAGGGCTGTACCATCTGGGTCTCGCTCTGAGTGAAATTACTGAAAGATTCGGAGCTGCGAGATATTAAATTCGACACCTTGTGGTCGCGTAGAGATCGCCGATACGCAGCTTTTGCTTCGTGTCAGTTCACGTAAGCAAGCCGGGAAGAGTTCCGTAGAAAAGTTGAAGATCATTTGCGAGGTGGCCGTCCGGGCCAAATGCGTCATAGCCAAGTGCATGAATGAATGATACAAGTGCAAGCAGCCGTCGGTGAACAACAGCTCGCTAACGCCGATGATGGGACAGCGAATCCACCGCGATTCGTCCGTGCAGCTGTGCCACCGACCCTCGAGTCGAAGAGCGCAGGTAAGACTGAGCTCAGGATTCAATAAGCCAGCTACCCAGTCAGTCAGGTTCGTCCATCGGTCCACAAGGCACCCTGACAGGGGAGGAATATCGCCAGCAAAGGTGGTGCTATCAGATGTTTCGGATTATCGCCCCCCTTTTGCTCACTGAACGCTCGAGCTCGGTGAACACATCAGACCTGATCACTCTATTAGGATTCAACAGCAATAACACTACTCGCACGCCTCTCATCCGAGCCATTTGGATGCCGGATATGCGGACGAGCGACTGCGCCGCGCGCGCATGCCGAAATCTTTCGAATTTCGCAGACTCTTGAAATACGTACAACATTACGACGGGGAATAACAATTTTTGGCCGAATCGCTCGAATCGGCGTTGTCGCGAGGAATCATCGGCTGTCTCCCTTTCGATATCCGCTGAATCCGGAAGAATGTCCGTCGTATCGATCAGAATCTCGATTCTTGTTTCACATGGAATTGACGATCCTCATCTGTCGTATGTGCTCATGGACGGAGTGGCCAACGAGCTATTCCGTGCTCCGACTGCCCACCCACTTGAGCTCGACGAAAGATGAAGATGGATACACAGCGAATGTTTCGTTTTGGCTTGTTCATTCATTCATCCCTTCATTTGTTCAGTGGATGCGTTGGCTTTCAACGAGAAGCCATTGATCATGCAACAAACTCGCTATGAGAGGTGCGCCTTTTGTGTAATTGTTCGACTACTACAAGGCCGGCCGCCTCGCCTGTGCTTGACCGGGTCAGTTTCTCCTTTTCTGTGGTGCTCAATAATCCATATGACGGCTAGCCACCGCTCGCTTCAATGAAGACAAAAACGAGAGGAAAAAGTCGCCACGAAAAAAACAACGGACAATTTGGATTGATGTGTGTGCGTAAGTCGATGCTTGTTTGCCGGCACACATGATTGCCGAGGTGAAGTTTATTGTGTCAGAAGTCTCTCTAGAGTCAGTGCACAGAGGCTCATGTGCACGAACGAAGCTCTTCGGCAAACAGATTAGGCGCTTCTGCCACTGGCGCGAGATCGCGGTTGATTGTCTTGATGTACGAGCGTATTACATAAAGCTGCCAAAATCAACCACTACAAAGCAAACACGACCGCACCTTCCAACCGCCAAAAGTCAACATTCGATGCCGCTCGCTTTGTATTGGATAAACACTGTGATTCAATCGTCCGTCTCGCTCAGCGGAATTAAGCTACATCGGCCCACAGCGATGCACCGACCCACAAATCCTTGATGAATATATTTTTTCGAGAATCTAGGAGTATAAAGTACAAAACTCCATCCTCAAATCGAGACGCGATGAGCTCCACTGATATCCAGGCGAGTTAATATTGAATGTTCCCATTCGGGATCGCACATGGAGCTCTGCTGGCATCTCGGGTGTTCGGTCGCGGCTACAATGCCTAATCGCTCCGTCGTCGATGTACATGCGAACCTAAATTGTGCGCCCGGGCTCGGCACACCGTAGGGGTGCGCAAATCATCGTGCTCTTTAGGGCTTGTTAACCCTCTCGTACATCGGCAACGACCTTTCCATTCAGATGGAACGAAGTGATTCATCGGAGAGAGAAGAAAAAACTAACACGATCAAATTCAAGCGTGGAATTAGCGACAAAATGCATTGGCCTGTGGACTCGCAGACCGCATCGAATCGAGACTTTGCTCGCAGTTCATCGGACGCCGGTGACTTCTCGTCGCTCCGAAGCAAACTCCGCGCGAATATTTCCCGAAAACTAATGATTTTCTTCCTATATTCATCCAGTGGCTGGAAGCTCATTCTCCTTCCCGCTCCTTCCCGTTGAAATTCGTGCCTGATCATCAGGAAAGAAGATCGCTGTCCCAGTGTTCATGATTCGTCTGATAGATTTCGATGCACACTCTCCGAAGGGCCCTCGATTTCACGAACGACACCCCACTCTGATGACATTATTTGCTTTCTGAGGGTGCTGAAGGCAGGGAGAGAGAGAAAAATCCGGCAGCGAAAATTCGACTTTGTGGCTCCCGGCCTTTCGTTGTAGATGCCGAGTCATATTCGCAGTTCTCGGTCTCGTTGATCATGCAGGGAAGCCGCTCGTTGAACGTCAACATCCTGATGTTGGATGCTGGATCTTCTGACATTCGTGCGCAATTTGCAAGACTCATCACGGGAAATCGGCAGGTCACGGACCTTCTTCGAATCAAGAGCGCTCTAGACTCTTGAAGTGGGGGATCAAGGCTCAACGAGATCCGAACTTCGTCTTCCGACGGAAAATCGAAGTCAGGCTAGGGTTTCGGGGGAGGTTCGGAAAGACCTGCGTCGCGCCGCCGCCATTCGCTTGAGGATCAGGGAGAATTAGCTGCGGCGAATTCACAGATATTAGTCGGAGAAAACTGAATAATCCGGGGAATGAATCTCCGCGAACAAAAGCTCATGGAGCCTGAACGCGGTAAAAGTTCTCCCCTCACGGCTCTTCGTATAGATGGCGGATGGTAACAGCTGTGGGCAAAATTTATTCTCCATCCTTTTGCCTGCCAAGGGGCGGAGCGAGGAGGCGCTCGGAACGCTTAGGGGCTTCGCCGTGCGTAGGCGAGGTTGCGAGAGCTGCCCAAGTCTTCAGGACAGTTTAGACGCCTTACATCCTCAAATGCCTGATTTCTCCGCACTGAGGGCTAGTCTCCAGGGATGCTTGTTTCGCAGTCCTTTAGTTTTTCGATCAATTGGGGTATACGAGCAGAGAGAGGAATCATTGTGGGTACGCTTGAAAAAGTCTGGACTCGAAGAGCTTTCGTTACTAGGACAGGAGGATCAGGTGGAGATTCACTCCGTTTATTCCAATGAAGTACTCCAGACATCGAGCGTTCAGAGCCAACAATTTGGCAAGCGCATAAGTGCTCATTTCAACGCTTGCTCACATTTACCGCGCGTGTCCAGATCCTCGTTACAGCCAGCGCGGAAGCGCATCCTCCGATGTCGCCTGACCCGCTTCAAATACCACCGCTTGATTAGCTGACAATCAGCTGTCAAGATAGAGTTCACTTACGACTTCTCACAATCTTGCAATAAATGAGTCGACGTCACGCGTTTCCTGACGCTTTCTTGAGCTGACTAGAATCCTATCACATACAAGTTATTCCTTACTGAAGCAAACACCTCTCTCATGATGGTTGATATGTTCTCATCACAATTATATACATTCCATTGAATTATTGCTTTGGTGCACGTTTGTTGGAGGAGCGAGTGGGGGAGCGGGGATGGCGCTTCTCGCACTTGGCGAAATTCACAGAAATCATTTTCGTCCCCCGAACTCGGCGAAAATATTCAGGCGCTGACTTCCACGGCGTGATCAGTCTTGAGCAACCTTAACAGATTGGAAAGTTTCTCTGTTCGATGATCCCGTGTTCGTTGCCGACTAGTTCCGAGACTTTCTAGCTCTAGAACGAGTGCATTCCTGGTGAGTACTGTCCTTGATGGCCTGAATTGAACGAGGACAGCGACAGAACCTCGTCGTCTTCCGCCGACGAGCTCAAGTGAATCGAGGAAGGAGGAGATCCGAAATGGCCGTTACCATTGTGAGGCCCAGAGCCTTGGTGGACTACCTCCGACATGAAGGCAATGTACATGATGGCGAGGCGGAGCGTCTCGATCCGCGAGAGACGTTTCTCGTATGCGAACGTGGGCACCTTGGAGCAAGGAAATAGAAGTTTATGCGGGGCGTACGCGGATGAGTATCGACCATTTCGGGCATCAAGGAGTCTGGGACGATGATTACTACCTTCTTTCGAAGCCGATCAAAAGCGTTGTTCAGGTTAAACATCCGACGTCTCTCGCGAATATTCGCAGCTCTTCTCTGCGCCACCGTGGCCACGCGGCGTCTTGGCTTCGACACCTTCTTCTTTGAAGCACCTATTGGTCCTCCGTTCAAGCTGTTCGTCCCCACGGCTAAGCCCAGGAGCGTCTGGAATCGGGTCAGAATCGAGGGTGCCGTTAGCCATTGCAGTTCTCAGAGGGCGCACTTCTCAAGCGACCGCAAAGAAATATGGCGGCGACTCTCCGACATTCACCTTTTCTGCATGTGACGGATACAACGGGCTCAGGGAGCGCTGACCCAGAGATCCTGGGAGTGGTCCCACCGTCATCCCACAGCTCGCGAACCCTGGAATCGAGATTTTCAAGGGTCAGAATCATCTCACCTTCCGGAGACAATCGTCACGCGACACGTACCACCGCTTCGGAACTTTCAGCACGATCCGAACCGGGTCCGACGTCGACGACTGCTCGACCGCGCTTTCACGAGAAGTTGACACAAACCTTTCGCAGTGGACCGCGGAGAACACTCACCGGAAAATGGGTCGGTGCTGGAGAATGGTGCGTGGGAATAGGCGTGCTGTGCGTGACCGTATCCGAGCTCGCCCGACGGAGGACCTCCTGGCGGTGAGCTGAGCTGTTGTGACCAGTGTTTCAATTGGAGTTCTGACGGTAGGTATCCTGTTGAAGCGGCGGATATGGGCGGCGTTCTAGGCCCTCCGAAAGCACCGTAAGCTGAGTGGCCCCCCGTGGCAGTCAACGGGGCGGAAATCCCCGCCGCACCTTCCGCCGCGACCGTCGACGCCGCCGCCGCCACCGCCGAGGACATTCCCCTTGGTTCACGCACAATTTCGCACCGGACGGATTTGCTTGCTGGCTGGCTGATTTCCAGACCGAGGGAGGTGAGCGAAGGAGGCAGACCGGATCTCTAGCCCCTACCGTGATCAGCCAGCCGCAATGCCCCTGCTTCTCGTTTTCCTGGCACCTGACCGAGTCGGGTAGCTCGAAGCTCCCCCTCTTCCTACCTCCGTTCGTTCGTTCGTTTCGACGCTATACGCTCGTGTGGGCAAGCAGTGAGGTAAGCTCGACTTCTTACGCCCACTGACTCGAGGCTGTAAGACGAACCGTCTGAAACGGATCTGTGTTACGACGGTGACGACGAGGACAACGAGAGGAGGACGAGGAGCAACACCCTTCACGCACCGCTGGGCAGCTTATTGGAATCTGTCAAAAATTTAGTCGCGAGCAATCGGCACTTCGCAGAGTCCCATAAGCCTCGCCTCCCTTGCGAACGCCCACCAATCGACCGCCGAGCAGGTGGTGTTGCGACTCCGCCTCGCGGCTCCATCTAGCGACTCCTGGCGGCGCTCGGCGGAGATCTGCGGGAGCATCCCGCCTTGAGCTGGAGCACGCGCCAGCTCCGTTTGCAAACGACTGATCTCCGTCGAGATTTATCTAGGTGGTTTCTTGGAGAGACCGATATTCCCGGCGCAGGTTCACCCGTCAACCCGAGTCGAATCATGATGTTCGATGTCGTCGGAGACTCCAGATCGGAGCTCACGAGCCGCGAAACCGAGCGAGATCAAATGATTGAATGAACACAGAGGAACCGGGGATGGATACATGATCAATTGGGGAGGACCTCGCTGGGAAATCGCTCGAAGGAGCGAGCGGCGCTCATGACTACAGCTCGAGTCCATGGGCTTGTACCGGGCATAGCTGACCTTCGCTCAAGCCACGGAACCTGGAAAATCTCGGGTGGCTCTCATATGAAAGCTCTCCATCCCACCAGCTACCACATTTTTGATGTTTAGGAATGCGCAGAATAATGAATTCCGGCGTCGGAACATGTCGGCATTCTCAGCTGATATGGTGTAACTCCTGATGGTCAGAGTTCTTCGATTCACAACTTTTCTGAATGGGCGGAGGAATCCTTGACTGATTCCTGAGAGTATAATACTTGAGGTTTGGAAATCAAGACGTAAGATCACATTCTCATGATGAACACGTACTACGTACGCTAGCCTCATATGACAGATGTTCCGAGGGTAAATGCTGATCGCGGAGGACCCCGGTCGGAAGTGCCCGCAGCTCAGCTGGATGAGTCTGCCCGAGTGCGCTACTGGCAACTCGAATAAATTGACGCGACGTAGCTCGATGCGACAAGGGCGGTATAGTTCACGAGTTAAAGGCTCGCATCCGGATGGACGTTCCATTGTAGATGCTGCGAGACGAGAGACGGTCGTATCGAAAAATGCAGGACAGACGATAAGTAGAAACCGACACTCTGTGACCCTTTTGTTTTCTCATCCGTAATTCGATACCTAATCGTGACGGACATAATTCGAGGAAATTCCTCTGTTCGGGAATGGGACAGAGCTCGCGAGCATTGGAGCATCGGATGAAATGATGAAGATGGATTACGGTACCAAGCTCCATCCCACGATGCACGACACCGAAGACTAGAGGCCCGGGCGCGAATGTATAAGGAGGTGAACGGATCCGGAAAAGACCGGTAGAATGTCCTGCGTCTAGACCTTCCAGCGGATCGGATCCGCGGACCCGGATCCGCAAGATCCGCATGATTTTCGCGTATCTGGATCCGCAAGATCTGCAGGATATTTACGTATCCGGATCCGCCGGATCCGCGCGAGTTTGCTCCACGAATGTAGGGAAAACCATCGTACATACATAGTTGGCGGGAGGAAAGCGTTTCTCTGATGGAGGAAGCAGGTAACGCGGGTCATGAATTTCCCATTTCGATTCGGAACCCCTCGTCTCAAAACTGAGGGCTTGTTCCCTCACTCATTTCCCGCCGACATGACGGCTCTGCAAGTCGGACTTCGCTGCGACTTATGACCGGGATCCGGTCGATAGCAGCTGAGAGACAACTGTTCATACCTCAAACGCAAGCGTTCTTATTCCGCAGTTCGTGATCTGGACTGCTCCCCGCGAGCAAGTTTGTAGAGCCTAAAATTATCAAGAATGGACTGCAACCCTCCTGCCGGGACGAGCCCGTACATCCACTTTTGTCGTTCTCCTTTTATTTAGACGGAGAGTTCCTCATCATGGAGGACTTCAAGGTAGCGACCGATCAGAAGAGCTGGGTTTGGAAACATTTCTTGAAGAGTTCCAAAAGCGGAAAATGCATGAAATGCTTCAGGGTAGGCTCCGCATAAATATCATAGACATATGGAGATCAGCAGCGAATCCGCAGAGAACTCTACATAAGTTGTACACATGTATACGTATTTTTTTCTGGATCCGGTTTGGTGCGGATCCGGGATCTGCGGATCTCAAATTTCACGGATCTTTGGAAGGCCTACCTGCGTCACAAGCGCTTACAATAGATGAGAAGAAGCCACCTCGTAGCTGGATTTATTCAAGAAAATTCAAAAATTCAAAAAAACGGTAGCGGATGGGCAAGGATTATATTCCGCGGTTGGAATACCGGTTAGAGAGTGACTCCAATCCGAAGACGATTTCGCTCTTCTGTGACCGCGGATGACATTTCCTTACATGTGAGTTTCAGGTGTTCAATAGGCAATTTCCGTAGAGGGGCGTCACAAAAAAGCTTCCTCGGAGACTGAGCTCACTGCGACAGCGGACATTCATAAAGGAAGCAAGGAGGGCAAAGGTAGTGAATAGGTCTTCCCGACTAATACATGAGTCGATCGACGCCTTCGAGATCAGCTCTCTCGATCACCGATGTCTGAGAGCTCGTCGCAATGCGATCACGGCATCTTGCTAGATTCCCTACCCCAACTATTCCGACGGCCTGTGGAAGTTCTCTCAGCCCCGCTCTTTATTCCTACGGTGAACGTTGGTAATTCAAACTTCACGGCACCCTCGCTAGCGGAAGAAATGAGTCGAAGTCCCTGTTACTACTCCACGATCAAGGTGTCATTTTCAGCCAGTCTAGTCGGACGGAGCCAGTATCTAGATGACCAAAGGCTGTCATTGCTTCTTCCGGTCTCGGGTATCGAAAGTTCTCGTGGATTCTGGATCGCTCCCGAATATCGATCGAAAGTTTCTCAAAGATAATTCTACAAACTTTTTTTCCCTCCAGCAAGGTAGCGTTCTCTGATCATTCTTGATTTCGGGTAGGACAACGGAGGAGATGCCGGACGACCCGAGCGCCACTAAACTCCGCTTCTTGACACACAGCAGAATGATAAGAGCAGCTGTTACCATCCGGGCGCCGGCATGGGTGGGGGAAGAAGCGGCTTGCGATTTCTGACTTTGTACCGCAGTCGGAAACTCTCTGAGTGAGACCTGACTCAAGAGTTCTCGACATGACTTTGCCGAAGTTTCCGAGCTCATCGAATCCATGCCCCAATCTCGACAGCATTTCGGATCCTCCGGGAGAAGTCGATAGGGCCCCGGGAGGAAGCTCAAAGCTCTAGGGAATGCGGAAGGGGAGGAATCTTAATTGCGACGAGGTTCTGTATTCGTTTCCGTGAAGCGTACATTCGCCTGACACTGTGTTCAGCGATAACCGCCAGGGGGCATCGAAATTGCACATTTATGGCGATTGCAGCTGGCGGTCGAGCGTTTGACTGCAATTAGTGTCAGAGCCAAATAAAGTGATCTTTTCGAATGTGTTCGAGCATTTGGTGACTTTTTAAGGACGCGGGCGATAATCCGGAACATCTGATAGCGGCTGCGGCTCCCTTATTGGCTTATTGAACGCTGAGTCCAGTCTCTCTCGCTTTCGCGCTCTCTTCCTCGATAGGGGATCGTAGCAGCTGTGGCACCGCTTCGTCTATAATCCTGCAACCTGCGATGCCTGTGTCCCTTGTGAGAGGGATACATAAAGGTACATAGGAGACTTAAGAGGAAGCGAAGCGTTTTCTGCCCCCGGTCGGCGCAACGGAAAGGCCGTCCCGTGGCTGGAAAACTTATCTCAGCGGCTTCGTACGGACGCGTTAACCGACAGGAAATCATTCTCCTTTTCCTTGCTCCTCGGCTCCTCTGTCTATATACTTAGCTGTTTGAGCCGACATTTCAAAGTAGTGCCCGTGTTGGAGGTAAGCATCCTATAATCGTCGAGGCTGATCGCGGGCAGTGCCGATCACGCGTGCGTATCAACACGTGCCTAGCGGTTGCCAAACAAAGGAGCCCAAGTCCCATGTCTGCCAGTCTCACAATGCATTCGATCGGATTCTACGGATACACCGTGCTGATTGTGAGTCGCGAGATATCTTGAGGTGCCATTGTGGTTGATTCGCTGCTTTGTTCTGCGATTACCTGGCAGTAGTCGTTCGGAGAATAATCTCAAGTGGTCCCATGTGCTCTCCCCACCACATGGGTCTCCGATTAGCGTTTAGCTGCGGACTTTGCTCGAAAGATCGCTGGACAGTCTACCAAGATAGTCTCTAGCAAGAGCTCGCTCGAAGGACCGGATAACCACTGTCAGCCCCCATCGGCTTCTCTGCTCGACTGGTCACACAAGAAATATGGATCCGGGATGGATTTCTGCGTGGATTTCCGGATACATCAGGACTTTCAGGAGAGAAGGGGTCTCCTGGTCGGATGTCAGGGTGTCTTCGTGAAATGCTCCGATTCGGCGCTGACAGACGGCTCCCCTCCGCGTGCGCTGCGCCGTCCTCGGTCTCCCTGCTGCCGAAACCGCAATCTGCTTCCCGGCTCTTGACCCTCTCCGGTGGCGGTAAAAATGATTCCATCATCCGCATCCGGGCACATCTTTGGGCGGGGGGACTTAGGGGGCTATAGCCCCCTCCCAGGCTGAGCGTTCGTAACACTCAGTTGGATATCGGCCCCATGCGAATACCCGATCTAGCCCCCCTCCATGGACGCCAGTGTTCCTATCCAGATAACTTCAGGATGGTTCACGTTCACGGACCTCCAGAGCGGGTTCCAATGAAGGTCGGTAAGGACTCCCGCCGGTCACCGATCCCGGCCCCGTCAAAATATGTAGAGCCAATCGCGCATTCGTCCTCGTTTCATTAGGCCCCCGGAATCCCATCATGCTGAATGCCAAGGGGAAATGCTTGATGTGCCGCTTTTTGATATCGATTGCCTGCCTGGGCCTGCACGAATCGGAGGCGCTCTACTTTAGCGAGCCTGCTCTCGAGATTTCCAGCTCGGGAGAGCTGTGGGTCCCCCGGTAGCGAAAAAAGGCGCACTCAAATAGAAATGATAATCACCTGCTGAATCGCGTCTAGTGTTCTCGTCTTAATCTCAAAATCGGCTCACGGGAGAGAGCTTAGCCAAGTGAAATAGCGTCAATGGTAGCAGGGTGAATGGGGGCGCTGCTACGATTTCAAGCTTGATGATGGGATTAGCGCACTGAAATGAGACAAGCCACCTGGGGAATATCTCGACCCGAGTCAAGTGGGCGTTTAGCATCTCTGATTCACGCCTATCGGAGCGGTAGAGTCGATTCGACGGGGAGCTTTTCGACTTGCCTTCTCCTCCGTCTTGAAATCGGCTGGACATACCGAATGTTCAAATTCAGCGGGTTGCGGGAGCGAGCGGGGATAGAGCAAGAGCTTGTTTTCGGAATTTCATCCGTTAGGTTTATATAAAATTATGGAGTTTTATCCTTATGTTAGAGATCGAAGAATTCAGTATTCCCCTTGTTCATCTACTTCTTCACCGTCGCTCCTAGATTCGGCTCCGACTTCTTCGTAGTCTTTCTCTAGAGCAGCGAGATCTTCCCGCGCTTCGGAGAACTCTCCTTCTTCCATGCCTTCACCGACGTACCAATGAACGAAGGCACGTTTCGAGTACATGAGATCGTACTTGCGATTCAGTCGTTCCCATGCTTCTCTGATCGCTGTCGTGTTCGAGAGCATCGTCACAGCTCTCGGAACCTTTGCCAGATCCCCTCCTGGGATCACGGCGGGAGGTTGGTAGTTGATCCCAACCTTGAAGCCCGTCGGACACCAGTCCACGAATTGAACCGAACGCTTTTGCTTGATACCGGCTATGGTGGCGTTGACGTCTTTCGGTACGACATCGCCGCGGTACAGCAAGCAGCAAGCCATGTATTTTCCGTTGCGCGGATCGCAAACCACGAGCTGGTTGTGGGGTTCGAAACAAGCGTTCGTTATCTCGAGCACGTTGTGTTGCTCGTGATGGGCCTTGTCGGCCGAGATAATCGGAGCATACGTCACTAATGGGAAGTGGATCCTCGGGTACGGCACGAGATTCGTTTGGAATTCGTTCAAATCGACGTTCAGTGCACCGGAGAAACGGAGCGAAGCCGTTATAGCCGACACGGCTTGGCTGATGAGTCGGTTGAGGTTCTTGTAGGTCGGTCGTTCGACGCCTAGGTTGCGTCTGCAGATATTGTAGATAGCCTCGTTATCCATCATGAAAACGCAATCGGCGTGTTCGAGCGTTGCGTGCGTGGTCAAGACCGAGTTGTAGGGCTCGACCACGGCCGTCGAGACTTGGGGTGCGGGATAGATAGCGAATCCCAGACGACATTTCTTGCCGAAATCTTGTGCGATGTTCTCCATGAGCAGCGAAGTGAATCCTGATCCGGTACCACCTCCGAACGAGTGGAAAATGAGGAATCCCTGGAGCCCTTCACATTGATCGGCCATCTTCTGGACCCTATCGAGAGTGCTCTGAATAACTTCCTTGCCGATAGTGTAGTGCCCTCGAGCGTAGTTATTGGCAGCGTCCTCCTTGCCCGAGATCAGCATCTCTGGATGGAAGAGTTGTCTGGAAGACGTCGATTTATTGAGTGTCGATGTACGAAATGGCAGAGGCTAGGGATTCCCCCTCCCCAGTCCCGAACTCGAGGATCGATTGAATCCTATCGAAATCAATCTTGATAGGGACGCTATCCCGCAAGAACTTGATTCGCCGACTATTCACTAACGCACCTGTAGTGACCAGTCTTGAGCTCATCGACCACCGTAGGCTCCAAGTCGACGAATAACGCTCGAGGAACGTGGCGTCCTTCTCCGGTTGCGGAGAAGAACGTGTTGAATCCTTGGTCCTTGACATCTCCGCTAGCATTCAGCGTTCCGTCCGGGTTGATGTTGTGTTCTAAGCAGTACAATTCCCAACAAGCCGCGCCCATCTGGACACCGGCTTGTCCGATGTGAATGTTGATAATCTCGCGCATTTTCGGTCGCAAATCTATAATTTAAATGAAAAGTTCTGGGCGTTGTCTTCACGTAGTGGCTTACGAAGAGAGACATGGGCTGACTCAAGGAAGATTTGAAACGGTCACTCACGAAATGACTTGTCTGGCCGGAGGTGACTTCTCTGGGACGCTGCCTCGGAACGACTGATGGAGAATTTTGTGGAGGTACGTGGATATTGAGTGCGAGACTTTTCGCGACGTGCATGTCTCGCGCATGCGACCGCTGGCGCGTAGATGGGAATCGGTCTCCCGGGGAGCATGATAGATTCGAACCGAAAACGGTAGCTGACAGCATGTAATGGTCGAATTTTGCAAATCCATGGTCGATTCTAATCCGCGCGCTCGGATGGGTTGAAACGCGGAAGGAGGGAGATGTAAACAGGATGAGATTCAAGTGCGTACTCGCCTCCAGACTAGTAGTTCCAGTAGTCGTATCCCAGTCGATCCCCTCTTCCCGGGTCCCTTCCACCCTGACGCGCCTGAGGTGAAAATTGTTCATCGAGAATAGCGGTCGGATAAAGTTATCGGACGATGTTGCAATTCGAGAAAACTCCGCAGAATTCGGATAAACTGAATCTGTTCTCCCATCCGAAGGGAACGTGGATATCCTCCGATTATCTACCAAGTTTTTTCCAAATCGGATGCTTGGCGGCCGTGAATGCAGAGCCCCGCCATCCACGGCGACCACCCTAGATCCCGACCGGGGCCGCGCTGTCTCGTTGGAGAGCAGTCCCCTTCCCACGAACGAATGTAACTATGTCCACGTGCACTTTCCGGGCAGGCTTGCGTGAGATGATGTTGTTTTCGAATCACAGAGTCAATCGTCTCGATCCATCAGCCCAGTGTTGTGACTTCGGACAGAACGATCCCTGCTCAGTGCACGAGACTCCTCACAGGTACTGATCTTGAGCTTTTCGTTATGGAGTCAGAATACGCATGAGACAGAATGAGGGCTGACTGACGGGATCTCGAACCAGGAAGAGAATATCTCAGAAATGCGTGAGATCATCAACGTTCACATCGGGCAAGCCGGAGTTCAAATAGGTGCAGCCTGTTGGGAGCTCTACTGTTTGGAGCACCACATAAACCCAGACGGGACCCTTGGCGCCGCGGGAGAAGTCAAAGACCAAGACTTCGGTACCTTCTTCTCGACTACTGGCAGAGACCGCTATGTCCCCCGAGCTATCTTCGCGGACTTGGAACCTTCCGTCATCGATGGAGTGCGTAATGGACCTTACCGGTAATATTGGGAGTGCGAGGAGATTCAGGATTTTTTTTCGATACCTTGAAGTCTGCTGGAGCAAGAACCCGATCCGTAGCGTCTAAGAGTCACTGACTCCCTTCCCAATTGTGATCCAGGAGCTGCTCGAACTGAAAGCTGAACCCCTTTTCAGACAATTGTTTCACCCCGAGATGCTCATCACCGGGAAGGAAGATGCGGCCAACAACTACGCCCGGGGACACTACACCGTCGGCAAGGAACTGATTCAAGCTACGCTCGATAGACTCCAGAAGATGGCCGATCAATGCGACGGACTCCAAGGTTTCCTCATCTTCCACTCGTTCGGTGGTGGCACTGGCTCGGGTTTCACCTCTCTTCTCATGCAAAGCATCGCTCAGGATTTCGGCAAGAAGTGTCGACTTGGCTTCGCCATCTATCCCGCGCCCCAAGTTTCAACGGCCTTGGTTGAGCCCTACAACTCGGTCTTGACCACGCATGCGACGCTCGAACACGCCGATTGCGTTTTCATGATGGACAACGAGGCTCTCTATAATATCTGTAGACGCAACTTGGGGGTCGAGCGTCCGGATTACACGAACCTCAATAGACTCGTCGGTCAAGCGGTTTCCGCCATAACGGCTTCATTACGATTCTCAGGAGCGTTGAATGTAGACCTGAACGAATTCCAGACAAACCTTGTCCCGTATCCGAGGATCCACTTCCCCTTGGTTACGTACGCTCCATTCGTTTCCGCGGAAAGAGCCCACCACGAGCAGCACAGCGTTCCTGAAATCACGAACGCGTGTTTCGAGCCTCAGAACCAACTGGTGGCATGCGATCCTCGCAATGGAAAATACATGGCTTGTTGTTTGCTGTACCGAGGGGATGTCGTACCGAAAGACGTCAATGCTACGATCGCCGGCATCAAACAGAAGCGGACGATACAATTCGTTGATTGGTCCCCCACAGGGTTCAAGGTCGGCATCAATTATCAACCCCCATCCGTAATACCAGGTGGCGACCTCGCGAAGGTTCCCCGGGCAGTGACAATGCTCTCCAATACCACGGCGATTGGTGAAGCCTGGGCGCGTTTGAACCACAAATATGACCTCATGTACTCCAAGAGAGCCTTCGTCCATTGGTATGTGGGTGAAGGGATGGAGGAAGGAGAATTCTCTGAAGCCCGAGAAAATCTAGCAGCTCTAGAGAGGGACTACGAAGAAGTTGGCACGGAATCCAGGAGCGACGGCGAAGGAGCCGACGATCAGGCTGAGTTCTGAGCTCGAGGGATAATGTGATGTTGGAGTTAGAAAAACTCCGTTTTTACCTGAAATGGCGTTTTCCTTCGCATGCGAATCAAGTGATCGGGAATAAGACTCGTAAGATGGGAATGACCCTCCGCTGCCCCGGAGGCACGAGCGAAGATCTCCGTTCGGGGCCCGAGTGTATGATATTTTTCCTTGAGAGAGGCACTAAAGGAGTCGGAGAATGAGTTTCGCTGCCGCGCTCCATGGGTGAGCAGATTCCGGAGGGAGATGCTCTTCTCGCTGAGTGCTTCTTGAGGTTTACGCTGGAATCGTAGCCTCGCCAGATGCTCCTGGGAAGCGCAATGGATATTTCGTATGGAGGAGTTCGTACCTAGAGGATCCCTTGCTTTGGACAATTTCGCATGGTACGCCTCGCGCTGATAGCATCTTCCCTCGGCAGCCCTCCCCGCGGAGGATCTTGCCCTTGAGGCTGTGACTACACCCTCAGGCTTCCTCTCGCAACCTCCGGTTTCGGGTCTCCTATCGCTCCCATCGGATAAGGGAGTGAACGTTAGTGTTGGAGCCGGGTGTGGAGGCAGTCCGCGCTCGCTGATAACGAAGCCCTCAGTGCCAAGATTCCTCTAGCGGGGATCGTAGAATTTCCTTCAGGCTCCTTTACACCCCACGATATGTATGCATTGAGCTTTTAGCTATTCAATTCCATGGTCGTCGGTTCCAGTAATCAATCGAGGCCATCGAGCGAAAGAGCAGGCGTAAGTCATCCGCTGTGGGGGGTGGGGGTGAAGCTTAAACCTTCAATCATTCCCTGCGGGGCCCACACCACACTCCACAATTAAGCTTCATCATTGGTCAGACGTCATTGGTCAGACAGGCAGACTGCCTTGTCGACTTTGACAGAATTCTCGTCTAAATTGAAGTATAGCGCCCGATGGCCGACATTGATAGAATTGCGTCTCCGATTCTAGTTTGATCCAAATGTGAGATGAGCGGGAGCACAATTCGTTCTGAGATTCCCTTCGACCACACCTTCGGCCCCAAGGCTCATAAGGATCCGGTTCTCGAATCCACGAGGGATCCAGGTCAGGATATCCGGGGATTAAACCCAGATCACCAGATCCTATCAGATTTGAAGTCAGAATTGAAGGGATTGGAGCCTCTTAGGGCTCGAGCGAGTTTGGAAGCTAGAAGTCTGTCCTGAGAAACGAGCTCCATTACCCCTGCAGTGACGTCTCTCGTGTCGAAGGAAGATGGAAAACCTTTTGAAGCAAAGACTCCCAAGGAGATCGCCATGGTTGCTGCGACGCACAAATTCTTCCAGACCCTCGCTCGACATCAGGCATATAGAGGTTATGATCTGACTTGGACGCCACAAGAGCATTACGCCGAGCAACAGAGCTTCCTCACGAACCGACAGCTTGTCGGCCGTCTCAAGAACAAGAAACTGCAAATTTCGGAGATCAGGGATCTTTTCTCTAATCTCATGGCACTGCAGCTTTTCTTGCGGCAGTGTCAGTGCAGGAGTGCCGTGACGGTATGTTCGAAACTCTCGTCTAATGTATACGGTGCTCCCCATCGCCGTTTTTCTCAATTAATTTCTCTCAGAGTTCGGATGTTTTCATTCGCTCGATGTCCACAGAGGTTGAATACTAGGACTGTAGTCGCTCTCGATGGGATATTCGCCCTCGCGGAGCTGATGGAGAAAGCTATCGGGAAAGGGCCTACGGATTGGACGGAATTGAAAACTTGCTTTTCGACCGTGACCTACGAAGAAGTTCCGCACATGAACTACATTCCGAGCATTAGTTGGTTCAAACCCGAAGGTTGTCTAGGTGAGCTCTCAGAATTTCGAACAAGAGGTATCCTGCGGTTCCAATCCATTTCTTACTTGAGTCCTAGAAAATTATACGCGTCTTGTGCAGGCGTTGGAGGTTTTGGATCGGTGTATCGATGCAGATTCGCCGATGGATCGGTGATTGCTCTGAAGCTCGTTGCCAGAAACCGAATCAGTAAACTAGACCATGTGCTCAGCGGGAAAATCGTGGGTTCTGTGGTTTCATACCCGTGTATCCTCTCGACGTATGCCTTCTTCACAACGGATCAATGTCATGCTTATGTGACCGAATTCCTCGAGGGTGTCGATCTAGCAAAGGTAGCTGACCCGTTGCCCATACCAATCGCATTCCTAGTCGATTCATCTCTCGAGAACATGATTTGACTCGACTCCAGGTCATCAAGCAGAGCAAGGGATTGGACGTGGCTCTGTTGAAAGTCGTTTCAGCGCAATTATGTTTGGCAGTGAATTTTCTCCACGTGCGGGGCGTTATTCACCGAGATATAAAGGTGCCTCTCGGATTTTTTCCCCAGCCATATCTTGAGTTGGTCGAGTTCCCCAAGAGAATCTTCCTCACTAGGATTTCACGAAGATTTCATTCCTTGCAGCCGTCGAATATGATTTTGACGCCTGGGTCTCGTCTGAAGGTGTTCGATTTCGACACGTGCAAGTTCTGTCTGGGAAATTTCGACCTCTCGGAAGATTTCTCTCTCTACAATAGAATATCTTCCCGAGAATTCAGAGACAATCGCATGCCAGGAACAACAGTATTCACAGCGCCAGAGGTCCTGAGCGGCCGGGCTTACGGTCGCGCGCTCGACTGGTAATTTTCTGGCTCACGTTTCGATTCCCCATCCGAGAGTGAACTTTCCGTAGGTCTGAGGAGAATCTCCTTCATCGATGGTCGCTCATTCTTTCGAATTGGAATCCTGAACGATCGCCGAGCGACAAGACATCCAGAGTTTTTGTCCTCAGGTGGTCCGTCGGCATTTCAATGATGCAGATGTTCACGAACCGCTTCCCTTTCAAAGGGAAAACGAAATCGAAAATCCGTCGCGCGATTTGTAAATTCAAATCTCTGGATTGGCTGCCGGAGGAAAACCCTCCTGCTGATTTGAAGTCCATAATCTCGGGTTTCTTGACAGTCAAGCCATCGAGTGAGTCACGACATCCCTCGAACGTCCGACTCCTTAGTGGTACAGAGCTCACCAGCCTTCGAGGACTCCTTTTAGCTTCTTCAACGAACTTTCCAGAACGATTGGGGTCTCAAGGCCTCAAAAGTATTCAGAGCGTCGAGTTTTTCGATTGCTTCGACTGGGAAGGATGGCGTTCGGGCAAAGCATCTATGAAGTGTGAAATACTCGCGAAACTTCTAGAAGAGAAGGAGAAGCTCTTCAAGGGAATAGAGGAACGGGCTAAGGAACGGATAGTCAGGCTCGAGGATCAAACAGTGAGTCTTCTCATTTTCAGCCGTCAATTGATGCGTTAAGGGGACACTGAAGCTATTCTTTCATGGCTTTTTAGATGATACAGCCGCAGGAGCCGCTCTTGACGTGGACGAGTCCTTCCTTCAGAGCGTCATTACAACTGGCTAGTCAAAAACACAGCGATCCACTCCAGCCCGGCAATTCACCGAAATTAGTGAAACCCATGCAATGATGCATTGCAGCCTATTAGTAAATCTCTGGTTGTTTGAACCGGTGCCCATTCATTCAGTGAGCTTCATCCGCAACGAAAAAATTCAATTATTTCTCTCGGAATGGAGGTTCTCTTTTTCGTACCCCGGAAACATGAGTGGAATCCAGCGTTTTCATGCTTATGGAGAGCTTCGATATTCGATGCGGCCTCCTGTAAAGAACAACGCTGTTGGAATGAGGGTGCGCAGATCGAGTCCCAAACGAATAATTGAAACCCCAAAAACGGCGATAACCCTCAGGAAAGACCTATGGCTGCGAATCTACAGCATCCCTTCCTACAGAAGGTTGGAATGGAAACGACTCGCTCATGATGATCAACGGACCGGCGTCAAATTGCTCCCAACATCGGGCAGGGTATCGCCTGGCCAAATCGTCAGCGTTTGGGGTCCGGTCGACTCTGCGACGGACACGCTCGCCCAGATACTCGCCGGTGTGTACCCTCCTCATAATGCTTCGCTCCGAAGAAGATCTGCAGGTCTGAAGATGACCGCTCGTTTCTGTCTCGTGCCGCGAGGGAGAAGCAATCACGAATTCATCCGTTCCGTCCGCAGGGAAGATCGAAGATTATGCCGGCTGCGTGGAAACCTCCCCCGCCGACCTGACTTATGTCGAAGATATCACACAAGCCAACTTCAGCTTCCCAGAGAACGAGACCATCAGAGAGACGATCGAATTTTACTTTAGAACGATTCTCTACGAGTCCCCGATCCCGGCATCGGAGATCAACATCGAGGTAGGGAACCTGATGCGCGAGTTCGGTCTCGAACAGCTGCAGTACAGCTATTGCAGCACCCTGGACCGCAGTGAGAGGCAGTTGCTCTACGTTATTTCGATGCTCCTGAAACCGAGATCGATTGTCGTTCTCCAGAACCCGAACCGGCACCTTAGCGGCCTTCATTGTGTTCTGATTGCGCAACGTCTACGACTTCTGGCCCGAACTGGTCATTCTATCCTGCTGATGAGCTCGTTTGTCTCGGCGGCATTCCTGAACATCAGCGATCACTTACACCTCATACACTCGAGCGGGCAGTCGTTCTACGCCGGCTCCTTGAAGGGCCTCGAGAATTATCTCCAGGTCCAGGGAGTGGTAGGAATAGTTCATCGATACAGCTATGAAGATCTCATCTACGGCACCTTCTCGCTTGAAGACAAAGACTTCAAGCAGATCATGCCCCGCCTCCAGGATCCGCCTGCAGCATCTTCGATGTACTCAGAAGATCTCTCCGTTCATGAATTTCAACCACCAAGAGCCTTCTGGCCGCTCCTCAGTCGAACATTGAGAATACTCACCCGTCACGAGCTGCTGCTAAGGACGAAACTTCTGCTCCTCGTGAGTTTCGCAGCCATGTGCAAACTCGTGCGAGTCCCCGATCAGTCAAGAGAGAACTCCCGCATGATCGTCGACCTCCTCCTGATCTATGCAGCCGGCATCAACTTGCTGTTCTCAACCTTGGAGAGTAGGAAGGTCGACAGAGTGCTCTGTCAGGATGGGCGAGGACCCCTCAAGGGTGTCTGCACGAGGACTTCCATCATTGGCATTCGACTCCTCATTCTGGTCGTGTCGGAGTGTTCCCTGAATTTACTCCTGTGGTTCCTTTTCGCGTCATGGGTCGGTTTCCCTAGGATGGAAGACCTGCCGAGCATGGTCCCGATGGCCACTATGTGCTCGCTCTTTTATGCTTTTGTTGGGAGCATTAGTGGGCTCTCAGAGACCAGACAGAAGCTCAGTTCTCTGATCCATGCAATGATCCTTCTATTCACGCTCTCCGCCATGGTGATCTTGAATCCTACGGATGAAACTAGATCGATCTTCAAATCATTCAATCCGGTGTTCGTGACAAAAGTCATGATCCTGAACGCGAGCCCAAACCCCGCGAAAAGATCTACGGGCAGGTCGGGAGGTAACCGCTCCGAGTTTTGGGGGGACTTCGGGAAGCTCTCCTTGTGTACGCTCTTGATGCTAGTCATTTACGTAATACGCTTCGAAGAGGGCTTGAGAGGCAGACGGAGGCGTCTCCTCAGATTTTTGTGATTTGCTCTCGTACTGAAGCTCGAGGATCAGGGCTATCCACCAAAGAGATTCCGTTTCGCAAGACCGTGAATCATAAATTCGAATCTTTATGATTCCTGAGCAGATACCGGACCTGTGCTGCAATGGGCCCGCGTCACCATCGAATAATGAAGGGAAACGGTTTAAGCAATGGATAGCTGTCTGATTTTCGTCCTTGTGGCTGAATTTATTAAAATGAATCAATTCTATAAAACATCTTGGTTTACGATACATGGTGCTATGTCCCGGTTTTCGAAAAAAATCTACAAGACTCGACCACTTGAACTTCGGGCGGTATGAAATTTCTTCCCTAAGAATGGCGCTCGGAACTCTATCTTGCAGCTGTTCACTCCGGCTCCAGCATAGCATACGGAATCCGGAATGAACGGAGACTCCGACGGGCCGCTTGCAGAGCCGAGAGCATGCACTAATATGGACGCGAAGCGAACTCGGACAAATGATCTCACCGATCGGCGTTGCCGCCTAAGGAGCCATCGCGCTCTGGTGATAACGAGAGTACAATTTCTGGTAGAGACTATGAGAAGAAAAAAAAGCGAATGTTATTCCAAGAAGCTCTAACGCTCGCAGAATGACATGAAATTGCTCATTATTATATATATTGTGAAGTATATAATGTTTACATATTATAGAATCGAATCATCGCGCTCACCTGACCACTTGCGGACACATGGGGGGCATTTCTTTCCGGCAGACCTCATGCAGCTTTTCGAGAGCTTTCGGGAGTAACTTCATGCTGAACAAGATGGGTAGAATTCGTATCTGTACCATCGAAATTTAGTAATCAATTATCGTAACATGAGAGAAACGCACGGAATCCGGAAAACTTACGTATTCGGAGCTCGCGTGAATATGATTAGGACGTCGTCATAATAAGAAACTCTGTATATGATTTGAAGAGTCAGGAGCTGTGCTAGCGTTCCACCTGCGGAGCGAGACAAGGCTCAGGAACCAGGAGAGCTCGACGATCCACCAAACAGAATGAGCTCCAATCCGAAGAATTATTCCGCAATGTGAGATGATCAAACCGTGATTCACGCTGTTCCAGATGATCTTCATGAGGAAATCATCCGCCAACATTTGCATTATGACACACGCATATTCTTTCTGGCCTATCATGCCGCGATCCAAATTCGATCCGCCGACGAGGGCGCGCATTACTCGCAGAGCGCCTCGACGAAGAGCCTCGAAGTGAGGCGAGCTTGGTCCTAAGTTGGCAAGAGGCGCGACGATCTCATGTATTTTGCTGCAGACGAAGTCGACCCTGGAGCGAAGAAATATAACATTGTTGGAGAACCCTGGCGGAACGGGAACGTGCAGACAATTTCAATGAGAGTCGGCGAGATTGCAGCCCATACTTTGTCCTCGGATGTTCAGCTACGGCTTCCAGCAGAGAGAGGGCTGTCAGAATTCTCGCCGCATCCGACTCGAGGACTTCCCTCCTGAGATAAGCCGATATGATCTCCTGAATCAAACTACTGACGGCTCCGAAAGAATGCCAGATCAGAACGCCCAGGTCAGGCACGTTGCGGTGGAACATGCTGGAAAAAGATCACGAGTGCCTCTGATCTAGGGAGTTGATGTGGCAACGCGGGGAAGTCGAGGTATATATGCTTCAATACACCCCTCGAACGGAGTCTCGGGGATCTTCTAGTCTGAATAACTCACCATAAGCTCTTCATGGCGTACTCTCGGGTCCCAGGGTTGGCGAGTTTGATTATCAGTGTATTGGTGTCACCAGGATTACGATTTTGGTCCGATGGGGTCACGACCGATGCACCCCGACACATCGCTGAAGATCAACATCGATTTGAAAATATACCTCCTCGTCAGGAGAGATCGGATCGTGATTTGAGAGTCCAGAGGTGATCAGGGAGAGCAACTTAGAACTCATGGGGGTCCGAATCTCAACTGGCCCCGGGAGGTCTGAGCTCCCGGGATAGTTCAGTAGTACTCCTCTCGATGCGACGGTCTCACCTTCCCACTCTTGTAAAAGTCTCGGTCGGTTGTCGATCCCCGATTTCTGCGTCATATTCCTCGCCTGTGTATCGCTTAGGGGACTCAAGAGCCAACTCACAACACCGAACAGTTGCTCAATAGAAGATCTCGGAACAGCTCACGTTTAAGGTAAATCAGTACAATTTCACCGTATATTCGGCCTCTACAATCCTCGAACGGTTGCCGCTGTCGCTCCAAGCAAATGCACGTCTGACGAAGTAGTGTCGTCGTTTCTCAAGGATCTACATCAGGCTGCGCGCAAGTTCTCGCGAATCCGTGAAGATCACGGAACGATCACTCGAGCTCGTCCCAGGTCGCTGATATCATTGAGAAATCAAATGGAAGATTCATTGAATCGCGGAAAAAGAGAATAGAATCTAACTTCGAAATGAACGACACTTGATTCGATTGGCTTCGCAATACGTCTCAGTTTATCTGAAAATCTTCAGAATTTCTTGATGCTCTCACTGCGAGAGTCGACGACCACCGGGGAGATTGTCTCGTTCCGTGAGTCTTCGGATCCTCCCGTCTTCCGATAGCGTTCTAGAAGCAAACTGACTCTCCGCGATTGCTCCCTGCGAAGGAACTTTTGTGAAGTCTTCTCAGGATTAATTCTTACAATTTGTAGATCGGACAATTCTTGGAGGACGGGTACAGCTCTGTGCGCGAGCAGATTCTTCACCTTCTACGGCGCAACGCACACCCGAAGTAGGCGATCATGACGCCCAAGATGAGGATACACATGAGAAGAACTCCGATCAGGGGATATATCGGCAAACCTGAAAGCGGTAACATAAGGTTTACATCGCTCGTTCAGATGATGGGAACCCGGTACGAATTCCGATCGATAGAAGTCAGACCTTTCTCAGCTCTGGATGGCTCGTCGCCGACGAGCACGTATTTTCGGGCACCGCGTACCGAACTGTCTCCACAGCGGAAATTCGCGGCGATAGAGATGTTATATGTGACATTGGAGTTCAGATTGCTCAAGGTGAAATTCCATCCGGAAGTATAGGCCGTTTGCCAAGCGACATCAGAGAAGATTGGTCTCCATCTGATTTCGAATGATCTTATGAAGGAATTGAATTCGCCATGCTTGTCATGACACCACTGGAGCGTAGCATTGGTCTTGTTCCGGGACAGTACGTAGATATCGTCCACCAGGCTGAGCCCTGTATGAATGTCGATAATTTTAATCCAAATTATTCGGCATGTCGACTCTTCGGATACGGACGTCTATGGACGCCCCGCACATGCCGTTGGGGAAGACGTACCGTCTGAGATTCCTACGAGGAATCGCCTCTCCAGTGGAAGGCTCGAGTTTCCGCCAACCTCGACTGTGAGTGATACCGTATACAGCACGTCTGGGGAGAGCGGCTTCAGAGTGACAGGTCCCTGGAGGAATCGAGCGATGGCAAAATATACAGAGGATTAGATGTGCGCGGAGTAGGATCATCATTGATCCGAGCTTCGTCAGCATTCAGGGCAATCTAATCGCTTTGCACTATAAGTGAATAAATCGCTGTGGCTGAAAGGTTTCCCCATGCGGGGAGTTTCGGATGTGTATGATAGAAAATGCGAATGCCTTCGAACGAAAAACCCTCACTGTAATGTTCGATCGTTGTGTCAGGTCTGTGAGATTCCCTTCACTCTGCAAATAGATGACGACCGTCGCACTTCGATCGAGCAGGCGGAGTTCGGGGGGCACTCTCCACTGCAAACTAGCTGAAGTTGAATTCGTTGAGATTGTGAGGCGTCTGACCGGTAGAGGCTCTGAAATGAGACATACGATCGATCGTGCTGTGAGACAGTCCACAGAATGAACACATTCCGGAGTAACCTTGCAGCCACGGGAAAATGAATTGTATGTTCGCAGCTTGCCCTGCCCATTCCGTGATCATCAGAACAGCGTATAGAATTCCCTTCCTGGGGGAGGGGGACCGACCGCTACTTACCGCCTTGTCCAGTACCGAGTTTTTTGATTTTCCAGAACTGCGAGAAAGTGCACGCATAATGATAGGATATGGTATAATTCATCCAATATACGATCGGGATTCCTCCCGTCCTTTCGAGGAAGCAAGGCTGTGATGGTTTCCTCAATGTCATCTGGCGATCCAGGCTGTCCTCCACAAGAACCTTGTCAACTACACAGGAGAAATAGTCTTCCCAAGCGATTCGGAGCATAGGGTAGGGGCCGCCACGCGGAATGACTCGATTCTCGAAGCGACCGCCGGTATAGATTGCAGTGACTGTAGATAGAAAAGACAGACATAAGTGAAAAGCCATATATATCTATTTTCGAGTGTAGTGACGTCGACAGGGGCGCTCGAGAAACGTTCGCTCAAATTGAAAGTCCTAGCATAGATTCGATTCCCGCCCTTAGATCAAGACGGAGCTCAGCAATCACTCACCTGCATGCTGAACTCCGATGAGCCGCACTGCGAGGACGAGCGCATAGAGCTTGGACATCTGGTGAGACTTCCAGATTAACACGCGAGATGCCTGGAGAGGCGTCGTATTTTTTCGAGAGCAGGGTGCGGATTGGAAAAAGAGCCCGGCGTGTACCGCAAGCATGGTATGCTCCGCCGAACGAGCTGCAGAACGAGCCCTTACTGATTCTGATCCGCAGTCGTGAACTGAGTAATAACGCTGATCGACAAGTCTGAGTGAGTCCGCGATTCGCAGAAATATCAAATCTTCTTATCGCTCACTCGTCGACGCTCGTATACATCTATACACGTCACAGTAGCTTCGATTCTTTGAAACTAAAAATCTCAGCTCTGGATTCGATTTTTCTTTGGACCGACTCTTGACGCCTCTTGACGCTCGACGTGATTCATTCGTGCATCAGCTCGATCGACTCCACCCGATTCCGTGTTGCGGAATCTGAGCAGGACGGGTCTAGATTCTCCCCTTATCGAAGAATCGGATTAGGTGATTATCCGATAAGGGGAGAATGCTGATATCCCCAACACTGGCGATCGAATTCGGAGTCCTGAACATCCGGGTCGAGGGTCGGGACGCCCCGGAGGAATCGGAGGTCTTTCTCTGTAGATTCCGCAACTCGCGAATCGTAGCTCCGTTCATGATGAATGCCATTGAATGCCAATGATGATGCGCCGAAGGGAAATGACGATTATTCATCCAACGGAACTCCGAGAAGTAGTCGAGAGTACGGTCGTCCGCTCCATCGAATACCTCGCGAAGGGTTCGGAGGAGCTAAAAGGCTCAAATTGATTCAGCTCCCTACGGATGACCCACAGCTCACTTTTGCAAACTGATGATAGAGATGGAACCAATCAGCCCAGAGTACGGGAGATCCCTGAGCTATCTAGGATACGGAATGGTATGATTCGAAATCCGCTCCCGGCTGGGCAATAATTTCGCATGCACTGCGACCCTCTCTGATCCTCGATACACAACAATTTCCTTATACCTCGATTACTCTATGGGTTGGCCACTTAGACGGATGCCGAATGCTCATGCGCTGCGAGAGACGTCGTGTCGTCGAGGTCCTCGCGAGGCATAACTTCGGACTCAGTTTCTAGATCTGAGGTCACGATATGTTCCGTGTCATTCTCAGGATGTCGAGAAAATTGGAGATCCGCGGAAGCGCGTCGCGCTGTCCGTCACGTGGACGGCCTCCTAGCTCGAGCGCTCGGAAGCCGTTCAGCGATGAAGCCTTTCAGCTTTCGGATCAAGGGAGGTTCGTGGGAACCCTTTCTTCAAAATTTCTGCGCACTTGTTGTCTTCAAAACGCGAATAGAGATGGTAAAGATTTGCGATGCGGAGTCATTTCTCAGATCCTCAACTTTATTGAACAATAACTTACTTCTCTGATACGACATTTCGCCGCAACTCGCTCCGCTGCAGTCAACTTTGGAGGTCAACTTTTCGTCAGTGCCGTAGCAGACCAGCTGCTACGAAAAAACGTTGATCTAAATTCTACGTACGTATTTACACATCAAAGTATTCTGAAGTTTCCATTTGACTCGAGTTCACTACACATTCACAAAGAAGACTTCAGGTGATTTTTCCACACACATTGAGCTTGTAGAGTTCAGTAGACTTTTTCGCTACGTTCTGGTCGACGCTAGGTGTTTTCACTGAAGTCCCGATCGGATTCGAAACTATATTGAGCCTCAAGTGACCAGTGCCGAGCATTCGAGGATGATGCACATTTGGGTTTGCGGTTTGATTCCGGATGAGTATTTAAAATGGGGCAGGGGAGGGAATCGTGTTCTTTTGATTGGGAAAAATGTTAAAAATGTTACTTATTCGAAAATTCCAAAGATGAGGATGCGGAACTTGAGGGTAGGTCGGCATGGCACTTGACAACGCTTCAGTATGCCCGGGTGTACTTGATGTCTTCGCTTATCTCTCATTCATAAATACAGCCCCGAATCTACCTAATAAATTACATGGCTACTCAAGATCATCGGGCCTTCACCGACCCCATTGGCGTCCATTGTGTAGGGGTCCCGTTCCCCACGTTTTCTTGATCATGTCCGAGATTTTCTCGCCGATCATCATGCATGGCGCGTTGGTGTTGCCGGAAACGATGTTGGGCATAATTGACGCGTCTGCCACGCGAAGCCCCGCCACACCTTTGACCCTGAGGGAGGAAGAGCGAATTTCAGACTGAGAGCATGAGCCCGAGCAATTAGAGAGCGGGTAGGCATCCCCCCAGATTCCGAGCTGCTTCCGGAAGGGAGCGATTCTGTGATATTCTGCGAATCCCCGCCTTGGGAACCAGCCACACCCTGCATGGCATGTCCCGTCGGATGCATCATCGAAAGCTCGACGAGTCTCGTGTTTGGTTCGGTGACTCACCTCAATTCAGGATCTACTACGGCGGTGGGGTCCCACTTCGAGCCCATTTTGCAAGTACCGACTGGATGGTAGATGGTGTTGGTGATCGTTCGTGCCGAACAGGCCAGGTACTCGTCCGACCACGCCTTGTAGTGTTCGCAGCCTGGGATCGGCTCGGGCCATAACTTTGAGTGGAACGCTTTGAAGGCCGGCGTTTGAGAGACTGAGATGCAGAACTTCATTCCTGCGGGTAAGAACTCGAACTCAGATATTTGTGAAAAAAATTATGCTCTAAAAATGCGACGGCTCCACGAAGTGGGAGAAGCATTGGTGATTCGAAAAAAATATATTCACGCGTACCTTCAACAAGCGTTCTCACGTCATGAGGATGAGTGAGATATTTCGGGTCGATTACCGGTGGATCGTAGGGTGAAACTGTGCGCAGCTTCACGAAACCCCGAGATTTCGGTCGCAGCAGCACAGGGAAAATCGACATTCCATCTTTGTAGAGGTGAGGAATGTAGAAACGTTCCCATAACTGAAACAATTGAGAGTTGTGATAAGATCTTGGCTCGATATCTCCGGGAAATCAGTCGATTTCTTCCACCCAACGGAAAACCCGGCGCGTCGACACTGTCTCGTTAAGATACCAAGTGGAAGATCGAGAACCCACCTCGTCTGCGAAACCTTGTGTCCTCCGGAATACTTGGCCACCGTCAGCGGTGGGAGCTCCGGTCAGGTAGTGAATTTCGATGTCGGGATGGTCAATTGTTCTGTTCGCGAATTTCGTGTTGATGAACGCGATACCCTCGACGCCGCCGAGCAGGGACAGGGGTCCTTTGCCGGCTGTCAAGAACGACATCACGTTTTTGAGCGTGAAAGCTCGTTCGTGCGTTACCGAAGACTCCGGAGAAACTTGGAAATTCAATGCTCCGGTGTAAATATGATCTTGTAGATTCTGGCCCACCGGGAGATCCGAAATGACCTTGATCTGTGAAGAGCGAAAGAAATTCCGGTTATGGGATGCCTGAATATGAGGACCCTGCTTCGGACGCTCTCCGAAGACTGTGAACGGATGATGGGCTAGCCTTCTGAGGCGACACAATCCCGGCTGAGGAGACGACAATAAATGATAATCCACGCCATTGGCGAAAATCTATGTATTTACCCCTAGATGCGATAGATGATGTGCAGGTCCCACGCCCGACAGCATCAACAACTGAGGAGTGTTGATGGCACCTGCCGAGAGAATGATTTCTCTGCGAGCGTACGCGATGTGTGGCACCTTGAATCGTTCGAATTGCACGGCTCGGGCTCGTTTGTGATGATCGAAATGAATCTGAAAAAAAACGACACGTTTATCGCAGGGCAACCGAGATCTCAGGCCTGCCTCAGATTTCGAACAAATGCTCGCTGTATGTTCCGGCACGCGAGAAATATCGCAAGGCCTCATTTTGAAACGCTTCAGTTTCCTCTCGCACCCACGATTCTGTCGTACACCCAAGTCGGAAGGCGCTAGAAACCAGATGCCAATCATCGATGAAAGAAGGCAGACTGTTTCGGGTGTCCGAGGTGGGAGAAGAGAACCGAGGAGATATATCTTCTCTTCGGAATAAGCTTCCGGTAGTCATCCCATCCCTCTAGAATGACAGCTACCAAGGTTCGCGATAAATGGCAAAAAGTTTGACATCTGAAGCAGCTGATAGCTAAATCACGAATGCGCTTTCTGCTCATGGTCAGTGTGACGGCATTCTGAAAAGCTCAGGCTGAACCCTCAATCTAATCAACAATGGGAACCTCCACACTGATGGCATCCAAGATATTTCCTGGTGGCATGGCGGGAGCGAACGGAATTAACAGGGAGGCGTTTTTGGCGAACGGTTCTTGAGGGAAACGAAACTGCAGAAACTGTTGAACCACGAACCTTCGTGGCAAGTGAGTAAAGGGTTATGTGTAGATTTTTCCGATGTCGGACCGGCTTCACGAAAGCTTTGCTCGTGCTGCATCTGGCTCCTCGTCTCGTCGTCCCTTGCGGTATCATGAAACCTGGAAAGCGCCACAAGAACAAAGAATGTGTTATCCTTCTTTATTTGCCATTGTGAGAATGAGAGTTGAACTACTGATCAACAGCTTGACTGGAGAGTTCGAAATTCGTATATCTGGCAGTTCTATTCATTGGAAGATTCCACTTTCGTGGATATTCCGAAGTATCTCGGGATCATTCCCGAGATGATCTATCCTCTCTCTTGCCATGCCTGTCTTCAATCGTATTCCCCGATGATCAGACCATACAAGGCGCCTCTTCGCACGAGAGTTGTCGTAGAGTCATTTGCGAAGAAATGCCGGACCGTAACTCGACTATTCGAATCCGAGCGAACATTTATCACTGAGTGAACAGAACTTGCGGTGGTCAACAGCATACGCCAAAAATCAGTAGCATCTGTCGATCGACATTTCCTGGATCTGGCGCTACTCGGCGGGCAGTCCTATAGAGAGGCGCAATGGAATTATGAACATTTAGCTCGATCTTGATCCCCGGTTCATGACAGTGTTCCGTTAGCACCGAAAGCAGACGGCTCCGTAGTTTTTTCGGTTTCCCTTGCAGCTGAAGAATCATCTCATGACGCTGTTTCGAGCTACGGATCGGCGCTACTAACCCAGATGTCGCCCCAGAGACGGGATCCATGCCGAATCCCAGAATAACACAATTTCATCGCCACTTCTACGACCAGCCATCTACGATGCATCTGCGTCCGTTCAATCGTTCAAGAGGACTATGCGGCATGTTTCCGTCGCAAAGTTGCGATATGAAAAAGACAAGTTGCAGCGGTCTATCAGGAACCGAGACAACGAACAAAGGTGGACGCTTTCTGATCGCTGATTCCGAATCTCCGCTTCTCCGAGCCCCACGTCCGGTCGTTTGAAATGTTCCAAGGACCAGACTTCTTCCTCATCCAGCCAACCACGCTCGGGCTTCTCCATCGAAGTCGATGTTGGGCATCCTCCGAATTCCGCGGAAGGCGAGCGGAACATTGTTGCGTGGGCTACGTGCTTTCTTCAAGCTAAATTAAAAGGTGGCCGGATATCTCACGGAAAATTATAAGAGCCGGCCAGCCCGAATCCCACCCGCATCTGACAACAGAGCCTGAGAACAGAAAATTTCTCGTGTTCACCAATCGTCGTCAGTTTTCTCCCGACAGAGCCATTCAGTCAACAAGCGGCCCGTTCCCTTTGGTTGTTCGTGGTTCTTTGCCGCGACCGTCGTCCGCATTCCGGCAGGAAGATTGTTGGGGTGAGAATGCGCTAGATACTGATTCCGGCGCTCATCCGTCAAACATAGGCCGAACGTATTTATTTGTAGCCACCCACGAGAAATTCCCATTTCATCAATATGCTCAATCATCCGACGTTTGTCGAAGCCACTATTCGATTGTTTGTCACTCGTCAGAAGTGGTCTCTTCTTCTTTATCCAGATGCGTGACGCATCCCTATATAGATCGGAGTATAATTCCCCCTATGAGCCTGAGCGACATTCTCGACGATCGAGGAAATCAGAAGTCGGCAACTGAGTATTGTCCAGCGGGACAGAAGTTTTTCCGATGTGCCATGGGACAGGGCCGTCGCATTGAACTCCAAATCGAAATGCTCGTGGAACTCGGGGTACTGTCCCGAAGGCTTCGTCCGCATAGCGCATACCCGTTACTTCCTCAGCGTACGACTGCGTCTACGTGACGGAATCAAGTGGCTGAAGCTGGACGCCCGTTTGAGGAAAGCTTATCACCTTCTCGGCTGGACGTCGGAATTTAATTAGCGAAGACAGTGTTCGCGATTGTGCTTTTATATTTCGTCTATCGTCTTCTTGCTTTCGGCGACTTCCTCCATTCCGGCCGTTCCCCGATCGTGGACGTATTTTGTGGACGCGAATTCGCTCGGCACTTCTGCCCGATTGAGAACTTGAATCTCAAACACGAGCAGAACGTTTAGTGAGAAGTTGTTTGAGTCGGAAGTTAAGATTGTTAAGGAGAACATTTGAGAGAACATTTTGTTCGCTCACTTTCGCACTGAATTCTGCTACAAATGACAGCTTTCGTGATATTACCTTAACGAGAGTAGTGAAAAGTGCGTCGCCAAGCAGGATGAATTTCGGGTTTTTCAGATAGCGCTCTGTTTGCCGCCGTCTTAAGAGACTTCGTGAGTCATGATAATAAAATTGAGCGTAGTAATGATAGAGATGAACATATTATGCGAAGACTATAATAGCGGAAAAGATCCGAATATAATAACGCGGTTACGGAGATAAATGTCCGTGCTCAGCACTTGTCGTCAATCACATCACGTCGAACGACAAGGTACACGGCACTAGTTCGCAGAAATCTGAGATTTGACTCTTTTCCTAGTCTCGAATTATTTCCGCAAGTCCTTATCTACCCTCCCCCTCAACCAGGGGTTTTACCACTTCTTTATTCATTGCGACTGAAGCATCAGGCGAGCTCAAAATTAGAGCTTCTCGAATTCATCCATGAGTTCCCCGCAAGAGCTTCAAGATACAAGCCTGCAGCAGGTGTCCAATGATTTTCCTAGATTGCCCCGCATCGGAGAGAAATCCATTCCGGGGAACCTGGGATTCCACTTCCGGAGCATGTTTCAAAAATCTCTCGTCCTTGATGATCAAGTAGATGCTTCAAAGCGCAGCGCCAGACTTCGACTTAGATCGTTGAAAAATCCACATTCTCCCGGGTGGCTTATCCCTTGAGCGGAATCGATTGAGTTAATCGGAAGCGGTGTCTGAGCATCGAATCGATAAGATTGCTCTTACGCAAGCGCCATCGGAACGGAGCTGGACGATTGAGGAAGATCCCGGAATTTGGTCTCTCGGGAGACGAATGCTTAAAAGCCCCAGGTGGGTCTTCCATTGGTTCTCGTCAAACGCAGATCATTATAACGCAAGGGATGCTCTAGCCATGGGAGGGATGATCTGCACCCCTCCCCGGATCCGCTTCGGGGAGCGAGAAAAAAATGGAAATCATAGTCTGAGCGGAGGGAATTTCAATGCCAAGAGCGCCTCACCTGACATCGTCGGTCCATTGACGTCGACGTTCGGATAACCCATCTGAATACCGGCTTTTATGAATGCTCGACCCAGCGGTGTAGAGTAGGGTGGCGTTGAGATGGTCATGTATCCGCCGGTGGCGTGGTAACCTGGGAAAACAGAAGGGTAGCATCAGAATCGTAGTGACAGCACTGGTCGTGCGTCTTGCGTGATGACTTAAGCCCGATATTCCTTGGATCTAGAAACTGGAATATTTTTCTCTCTCCCGGTCACGCCACCCGAGTCATTAGCTGAGAAAACAACTCATCCCCACAGATTGCGTTTCTGATGAATTAACAATGACCCAGAAAAAGTCCAACTTCCAAAACCGTCTGAAAGCTACGATGATTATAGACTCCGAGCCACGCATACGTTTCTGTTTTTTTCCCTGCTCATGATTCTTACCGTTTTTGAGGAAAACGGGGTCTCGGTTGTCTTCGGATTTCAAGAAGTAAGGGAAAACATCTTTCCAGCTCCATCCATAGTTCCCAAGACGTTCCCATTCGTCATAATCGTGAGGACTCGCCCTTACGTAGAGCATGTAATTGAGAACGCTGGAGCCGCCGAGGACCTTCCCCCGAGGCCATAGGCTCCGCTGGAAAGCAATGGTTTCTCGTTTTAGGGGGTCGATGCTTCCAGAAGAAAATAAATTGAGGACGCTCATATCACCGCGGCAGTGTGATCGATTGTGGATGGATTCTCTAGCAGTGAACATCTGACTGTCCGTTAGTCGCGGCCGGTGACTATTTGCGAATCTGATCGTAAAATCGGCTTCTCGTTGGTCTGGACTCCCGCAGGTAAGCCAAGTCGCTGACTCTGACGATCGTTTCGGCGACGTCGTAGAGTTCATCTCACGAGCAACATAGGGGGTAAACATGGACTTCTGCTTGGGAAAGATTGCATGGCCAGAAGAATATCGGAAGAACTTCCTTCCTCCGACTGTCGATCGCGGAAGATACTGATCTGCGACGAGACCTGCGACAGCGACGCCGCCGCTGTCGGGTCATTGCGTTTGTCAGTCCGAGAGAAATTCCGTCGCTCAATACACCTAAACCGTCGAAATTTCGATGTTCCGGCCCACCGGAGCGTTCTCGTCTTCTGATCTTGTTAAAGAACAGACAGGGCGAGTCAGCAGACTGCCGCCGCCGACAACAGGAAGACGACACTTATGGCTTTGACAGTTGTTCGATTGAAGCTGCTTATCCACGCCGGCTTAGGAGGAAGAATTTTTGATCACTGGTCAGCTTACCCGGTCGCTCATGCCAAAACAAGCCGCATCCTGAGGCTCCGTTACGTATTGCCAATCCAGAGGTGACAATTGCATCGTTGCCGCAATCAGCGGGATATCGGAAACTTCGTTCTCGATTCCGCCGGCTTCGATGAGAAGAACACTCGCCGACTGATCTTCCGAAAGACGGTTCGCAATCACGGCTCCGGAAGAGCCTCCTCCAACTGAAACGAAACGGAAACGTTGAGTCAGACGAAGTTGTTGTAGCGCAGGGTGAAAATGCAAACGAGCCCGTTTAGCACCGGATGTTCTACCGTTGTTCTTCGAGGATCGGAAGAACGCCGTAACACTCGATTGCTACCTTGAGGCATTTTTTGAACGAATTCGTCCTCGTCGATCTGACAACGGGGCAGAGAATTTCTCGAAAACTTTCGATGCAAAGTAGGCATCGCACACGTTGAACTTCGACTGGTTCGCCGTTCCAGAAACACGGTTAGAAAATCGGAGAGGAGGCGCGATGAATAGATAAGGCGAAAATGGATCAACTTCCATCTGGAGAAGGCCGAGGAAATTCCACGAGCCGTGAATCTTCATGGACGCACGGATGACGTACGCACCACGGTATGTCCCTTGATCGGTGGGGACTCTACGGCCCCCGCTCATTTCGAGGCTATGTCTCTGGAGCTCGTGTGCTTTTCAGCGCCGCTTCAGCCGACAGTATATGGATATGCGCGAATCGAGCCCCGAGAGTACTTTCGAAAAAATTATTGGATGTGAAAATTGGAACGCCCGAACTGGATGTGTACCGGGCTTCAGCCGCGGATAGAGCACTGAAGTCGGTGTGCTCGCCGGAAAGAAACAGCGAATGATTCCGTGAGAGTAAAAAGATCATCCGGACCCGACGCTTGACCTTTCTGTCGCTGGGACCACCCATGCTTTCCGCTTCTCGACGTAGCCGATCTTTTCTGCAGTAGCCCTTTGTTAATCGTCGAGTCACCGAAGAAGTCGCTGAATAGAAAACGGATTGATACGAAAAAGGAGAATGGTTTTTCTCCCAGTGACTTCAATCCAATCGTCTGCCAATGAGTCGAGCGGCCATCCAGACAGTCGGAGAACGATTGGCGGAGTTCGCCAGGGAGCGGGGGATTTCGCGTCGGGGCAGCTACAACAAGCAGCAGAGCCGAAACGTATCCGGTGTGTTGTTTGTGCAGTGACTTCCGATGATGCTAAACTATTCCAGCTTCCTTCGCGAACTCCCTTTGTCAGTAAGCGGATAACACGAGCGAACGTCTCTGTGGATTCTTCGCAAGCAATTTTCCTCGGCATTTATGGAGAAACCTTCCCAGAGCATCGAGAAGCGGAAGAACACCTCCGTAATTCTCGAGCGGGATCGAGTCGATTCCGACGACTATTCAGCCGCACTTCCAGCTCGGCCCGCCGTCTCCGGATTGTGAACCCCGGGGGGAACGATTAATTTCTGCCTTTTTTCCCGACACATATAATAGTGCACTGTGCCGGTACAGATCGGGCACGAACGATAAGCGGCAGCGGGCGACGAGAACAACGGTCGAGCGGGGCCATACAAGGGTTCAAGCTTGCGCGGGCGGAAGACGGGAAGAGATAAATTGACAGTATGATAATGCCGGCCGAGAAGCGGTCAAAATGTGACCGGAAACAGAAATACACGATGAGACAAAACGCGCGCTTGAATCACGGGAGTGGCGATTGTGATGGTCTGCGGTATTCGCCGGGCAGGCAAGCGCCTTCGCTTCTCCCGCTTATTTGCATTTTTTACCGTTTGCTCGGCTTATTTAATCTTCTATGCCATCATTATTTGCATCTGCCCAGCCATCAAGCACCGCTCCAATATTTAAGGGGGAACATCGATAATCTTAACGGAATAGCACAGCTCGGGGAAATCGCGCAGGAAAAAATCAGAGAAAAGTTTCGCGGCGATCTGAGATGGTAAAAACTCTATATTCGCTCTATATTCCGAATATCGAATGGTAGCGTTCGTTCTGCCGTTGACTCCACCGGTTGCCAATCGTTCCTTGATTAGGAATTTTTCGTGTTTCATTCACTCGTGGCTCCGCTTACTTCAAACGCTTGAGTATCCCTAAAGTTTCCATGAAAAGACTTAAGCTAATCATCCAGCGGCGGAGTTCCGTTAAAAATCTACCGCGGAGCTTAATCTAAATTTTCTTCCCGTGCTGTGAAAGCTGTGGTCGCCGCCATTGATGACGCGCTTCCCGACGTCACGTCTGCTTTTTCCGGATATGCTACAGCGACTACCGCACAAGCAAACGGCTCGTTGGTCGGTCAGACGGACGCTCGGCCGTTCGGTCGGCCAGCTAGCCAGTCAGTCAGCCAGCCCGCCACTCGTCTAGCCAGACACTGAAACAGCGAGGCGAAGCTTTTTTGCTTCATCTCCCTCCAGAGACAGCTTTTAAGAAAATCGTCATCTATTGTGTGGCACTGTCGAGCCAACCGCGAAACGTCGTCGGTAAACAACTCGGATCTTGACAACAATTATTAAATCGAGGCCTAACAATCGATCAATCGCACTAGCGAATGAATAGCCGATGGATCATCTCGGAACTTTCGCCGCTTCCACCACACCCATGTGCTCGAGGTGTTAGACAAGTCTAACAGATCCGAGGGCGTTTTCCCCCGGCGACGCGTCATCGTAGTAGGTATTGTTATGGCGATGCCGAGTCGTGGAAGTTTTTATCGTTTTTCGATCTTCATTGATGCCCTTCTCATCTCAAGCACCTTTATTCGATTCGCCATCGTCTCGATGCGAAGACTTCCCGTGTCGTCGTTATACGTAGTGCCCGACATTCTCAAAAAGTTCGCTTGATCCAAGCGGCCTAATGAATGACGATCAAATGTTCGAAACGCTTGTTGAGATGCGCTTTATTCGCTGCGCGCAGTAGCTACAAGACAGGACGCTTTGTGATCGGAAGCCGAGAATTCAGCTACTGTGTAATTCAAAGCTGATGTGAAGGGTTCTTATCGAAGGCGTAGCTACGAAGAGTTTTCAGAGCCCTCGTAGTATGGACCCATTTCGAACTAGCCTGGCTTTCCAACGTTTCTGGATCCGAAAATATGCTGAATGCCATCCCGTGACGGAAAACGAAAACTTCAAGCCATTCGCCGCGTCGGCTGCGGCTTCATATCCCCTCACCCTGATGCGCGTGGAAGCTCATCACGCTCACACTCGAAATTTTGGAGCATATCGAGTGCACCGGGCCCGGTCGACGATGACGCGGCACTGAGTACTATTGACATCGGACTCGAGGCGCCAGTGCGAACACGACTTCCTCTTCATTCCTCTTGAAGAGAGGAATGAAGAGGAGAGCGTATTTAGAGTGACGGTCTTTGACTCCGAAGATGACTCTGCGTGAGATATCCTTCCACAATATCGTCGCTCATTCCCGATGAGCTCCTCCATTCCAGACGGGAGTCAACTCACGGTTTCTCTCTCCTCACGCGATTTTCCTTCGGGGCAGACTCATTGAATTTCGGAGCCATGCCGGAGCCTGATCCGTGACACGACCTCGTCGAGCATACTTGGACGGTGCACGGGCGCCTCGAAGGACGAGAGCGTAGGACTGGAAGAGCTTCCAAACATCGCAGACGTCGCGCGAAATGACGGAATCACGATGAACCTTTATTTATGACCATCTGCCCCCAAATTCTTCTAATGAACATTCGTCGATAGCCATCTTATCTACATGCATCTTTTCCAGAGTGTCTGTAGCGGTATCGGAGTTGGCTTTTGACTCGCGTTATCAGCTACCCGTGGGCAGGGGTTAAGCCACGAGAAGCTGTCAAATCTCCGCAGTCGTGATCCTTCGACGAACCTCCTTTTTCGATATGTCAAGAGGTATGATTCGTCGTGCGTGACTTCCTCCCGCTTCCATACGAACAAAGCGAAACGCCAGATCAACGACAGTCAGGAGATCAAGCGGCAAAGCTCCGACGGCCAAAGAAGTGCACCAATTACCTCAGTGCCTTGCGTCGGTCACTCACACGCGTTCGAAGTGGCGGTCGATACGAGCGCGGCGCGTTGAATTGTCGATGGCCGCATATTACATGCAACAATAAAAGTCGATTAAATCGACGGAGATGATAATGAAGAGTTTCTTGCTGTCGTAGCGGAAAGTTAGGCAGGGAAGACTATTATCGTTATTCCAAAGTTCATTGGGGAATTCAGGTTCCGTTCTAACAACACGGAGGCTTGTTTTCCGGGTTGCTGAACTCGCACGCACCGTAGTTACACAGTGTGTTGGTGTCTTATCGCTATTATGCGGCTGTTCATTGTCTCATCTGGCATTCTCGCCGCTCTTGTCAGCTGTTTTTAATTGCGGCCGACGGCGCAGGATGAATCTCTCGTTGCCGGTGGGAAAACCTCGCGGCTTACAGCAGCTCATTAATGACGGTTTTAAGCTCTGCGTCGCGAAGGTCAAGCGAGGAGTCGTTGTCAAGTAAGTTTACGGACCAAACGAGCCGTGGAGCGTACTCGATCAGCTGCGAGTGCGAGGGATCAACAAAACAGAAAACTTCGCCGCACTGGAAGAGACTTCAATGGTGTATCACTCTTGGGCTCCCTCGCTCTAACGATCGAAAGTGGAGAACACAGCTCCCTTGGGAGCTCCTGTGTATTCACCTAGTGATGGAAGCTTGCCGTCATATCCGCGGCGAGATATCCTCATCGCAAACAAGGGGACAACACTCGATCTGCAGGAAAATGCCGCCATCGAGTTCTGATCGGAAAGTCCGGAGCCCTGAGTGGGGATCGCGTCCGCCGACTTCTCTTCACCGCTAGCTATGCTTGTAAAATACGCATTTAGCTGACCCGGACTCGCGGTATACTCTGTGGAAGTCGTTTCGGTCCATCATTCCGGGAGAAAATTTCAGGGGTAGCAGCAGAGCCACTACCGTGTAGAGGACGTGAAACGTCTTCGGAATGGCCATTCGTAACACTCGAGCATCGTCATTATCCCTTTAAACTCAGCTCGTACTTTTAGGTCTCATTAAGTCGAACTCTTCACCGAAGTTGGGAGAATATCTTCTTCTGAGTGGAAAATATCTTCTTCTGAGTGGAAAATATCTTCTTCTGAGTGGAAAACATCTTCTTCTGAGTGGAAAATATCTTCTTCTGAGTTTTGTAAGAGGTGAATGCGGAATTGCGTTGCTAGCCATTGGGCCGTCACGCGCGCTCTGGAAATTTGAAATCGCCCTCTCCCAGGAGCAGCCATGATCACAAGCGAATAGGGCGCATAGGGTGTCATTCTTGGCTCCTGGAGTTGATCTGTGCCTGTGGGAATTCCGTAGGAAGTATATGAAATTGATGTGCCGTAAATTTGCTATCTAAAGACACCGACCGGGTGTCGATCGGTGTAGAAGGCACGGAGCTGCAGGGCGTAGAAAATGGACAAGTTTCGTCACACTTTTTGGTGAAATACTAGGCCAACCTTTTTAAAGACGTTTCACGTCAAAATGTTTTCATTTTCACATTTTGTCATCATGTTTCAACTTCATTTTTCTTAAGTTGTTTTTTTTATTGATCATTCCGGAAGCCATTTTGAGTTTCTTCTAAACTCTGCCAGTGCCTCCGGTTGCTCTGATTCTGACAAGTCTGCTAGTTGGCGGAAATATTCCTGCGGTTTTTTTGGATGCACAGAGAAGTGCTCAAAGAAATCTCTTATGAAAACCAAAAGGAAATTCCTCGACCGTAGGGAGCTGCCGTGGTCGGGAACCGCAAACACAGTCACCCACTCAGTCACGTGATCAGCCGGACGTCGCGGGCTTCTGTCACTCTTTCAGTCGACAAGATGAACACATCATCTGTGTTAAGAACGACGCCACAAAACACGATCCACACCCTTCAGAGAGGAACGCTTCGCCTATCTCGGAGAAAATTGGCCGCACCAGTTTCACATGGAATGATCGAGGGCTTGAAACCCTTCTCGGCAAGTCGCAAGTTGAATCAATCGGCTCAAGAAAGAGACATCAGTCCCATGGAACAGTAACTCCGGACGCATTGAGCCTGTCGGCATCTTGGTCTCTTGGAGATTTTTGAGCCATCCGACCCTCGGGTCAATCTGGAACGTTGACCGTGAATAGAGTCGATGCCGCCCGACCGCAGGAATCAACAGTGTCATCTTCATGGAGGACTTCGGGATCTCCATAAATGCAGAAGGAACACCGTCGAATGCACACAGACGTCCGTGACAATAAGTCGCCCATCGAACAAACAAACAATGGGGGTCGGGAAATAAGCGGGAAAAACTTCATGGAACTATACTACGCATTCCGGTATGCTACAATCACGGAAAGGTCGAAAAGCATCATGGTTTCATGCGGGTTAAGCCGAATCGAGACGAGAATCAATACCTGCTGCCTCCCGCGTTCGTCTTCATATTCGGCTTCGATGCATTCCGTCAAATTGAGCGACTAGCCAGTCAGACGTGTTACAGTCGGATGGAGCTGCGTAAACAATTGATAACGTAAAGAAATCACGATTTGCATGAAGCGTTTTCATTTTTGGAGTGAAGCACGTCGATGTACCCGGGAAGGCTAATTCCGCATTCTTTCGCTCAAAGTTAGATCCTTATGCTTCCCAGCGCGACAAGAACTATTTATTCCGAACCGATCCCACGGGCAAATGTTCGGACGTGGGGGAAAAACAAAAAAGAAGCTGTAAGGAAACATGGGTCAGAAGATTCTTTGGATGTCAGCACGTGCAGAAGGCCCGAGAGAGTAGGACGGAAGCTCGACACGTTCCACCGCTTCAGAGAGGAGCTTAGAGATCTTCGTCCTTAATGAACTTCGTGAACAGGATCCCGGAACAGACGGCCGCGGCTATGGGTGAGTAATCCCCGGTCGCTGCATCGAATCCCTCAGCACTAGATTTCCGACTGCTGGATTAGAAACTTATCGAAATGATGTCTTTCAGTTCGCCTGAGCTCATTGTGTGCGCGTTGAAAATTCGCCTAGGAACAAAGGAGCTGCGGGGAAGGCCCCTAAAACAATTTCCACTGACGAAAGACTCAAAAGCAGACGGACGAGTCCGGAATAAAGAGCTTCTTCATCGTCAAGGATCTCTAAACAAAAGTCTTCATCTCGGCCAGCATCAATTACGCAATGACGGCCGGTTGACGCATTCTATTTACGTCCGGCTGGGGTTTGACCGTTTCAGGCCCTCGCATCTACTTGCCCTCACTCGCAGAAATTCTTCACGAACTTAATGCTTTCGTATTAATAGCCGCTCAGAATTGACGTTACGCCATGCCGTCTATATACAGAAAACATTCAAAAACGACAACGATAACAACAACGACCAGTTGTTGTTGTCTCGCGAAGATAAGAATCACTTCATTGCTTTTGCGACGAGGTGCTTTTGAAACTGAGTTTTCTGACCGAGAGCTCCCGTCGCGATTTTTTTCTCAGAGACCGCGCTGAATGAAGAAAATGTTCGGGAACGACAGCGCGCTGCATTAGCTACAGACCATTCGGCGAACCATGACGCCCCGTGTTCCGGGATATTGTTTATGAGTCCGCGACATAAACTCCGGGATCTGACGTCGAGCGAATCGCGATCTGACACACTTCTGACATGAGACTTAGCTTATCGAGAGAAGACGTTGTGAGGGTCGGCGGCTCCGGTCAAGGATTGGATCAGGAGTCCTGGCTCGGACCCCTTGTTCCAGATCTGGATGCTCGGCCGTCTGATAACAGCGTAGAGAACTCCCTCGCCAAACGAGCGGCGGACACGACTTTTGATTTTAAGACTCAGAACGAAACTGAGAGTCTTCAGATCGCCCTGCTTGATACGTCCCTTTAGGCGGGCTCGTCGGAAATCTACGACAGTTCTCTGACTGGCTGAGGCAGAAATTCCGTCTCATTCCGGAGGCATACGTGTTATTTATTCTGACGACTTCGCCGAGACGACGACGATCGTAAATTGAAAGCCGGTCGGGTCACGAGCACTCATACGCGCCTGACCCAGTGAGGATCCCCTCGTCACGTATACAGCCGAAATTCCCGCAGAAAGCGCGACTCATCCGGTCCACGCGAGCCGGTGAGCTGAAGTTTTACCCAAGTCAATTATCGCTCGCTGGCTGGCTGGCTCGCTCGCTCGCTCGCCTGCTCCGACCATCGATCGATCGATCGATATATCAAACAGATCGCTTGGCGAACGATTGTTCGACCCAGACGCAGCGAGATTCATTGTGGAGAATCACTGGGCGCTTCCATATTTTCATAGAGACCCTCTCCAACGAGACTTCCCGCTTTCAGGAACATCTGGGTGACTCTGTTCGGCCATCAAATATCTCCGCGCAGATCAACATACTTGTTTAAACCGCCCGTGGCTCGGCAGAAGAAAGAGCGAGCTGATACCGAGCGCTCAAACTTCGGAAGAGCGGTCAAGCTGAATGAAAATCACCTCAAAACAAGCAACAGAAGTTGTTTCAGGAGAAAAAATCCCAAATGCCACCGACAGAATGGGGTCGTTCAAAGCCATCCATAAACTTGTAAGCTTCTTACTGAAGTCCATCGCACCGTCTTCAGGACCCGGGATCGCTACGGCGACACTCTCGAACGGGCTTAGTTGGTACACCTCTTCTTCACCTCTGAAGAACTTGGTCACGCATGCAAGGTCAAAAGGGATTGAGGATTCTCCCCGGGGGTTCGGCGAACGAGCGAATCGTTCCTTAAGGTTTAGAAACAAAATAAACCAGGAAGCGTGCTTCGATCAAAGGACTCGGAACCCTATGAGAAGCTGAGGGAAGACTAGGGGAAAGGACTCGACTGGAGTTCCACGGACATCAATGCCGGGGGTCGTCCCTATGCCCGCGGCTAGGGAACCGGTGGCGTCTGTGGGTAAAACGACTCGAGTTGAAGACGAAGATTCGATCAGACCGCGACGCCGGATGTGCATGTTTTTTCTGCGGCGTTTGATTTGAACTTTGCGGGCATGCGATTAGTTCTGGCAGAAAATCGTGTCAACGCCTGCTCGATCGTTGGCTTATGAGTTGGCTGCGGGCACCGGAAGCCCCAGCAAGCGTCGATCGAGTCGGAGTTCTGAAGCAAAAATAGAACTATAAATAAATAGAACTTTTTCGACAGAGGGAAAATGCTTTAGTATCCCGCAACGACGATTCAACGACGACGTCCATTCGATTCTCGGCGGAACGCGTTGCAAGAAAAGACTCGATAGATGGAAGAGCCGAACAAGGGACGCGAAGCATCAACAGAAAAAGCACTCGCGGTGCTTCCCATCTGTTGCAGATGGGAACTACCGAAGATATGCCACATCATTTTTTCCCTAACAGAAATGAAGTTGACGAGCGATCAGAGCTGACATTTTTTTTCTGGCAGCAACCCGACTCGCGTGTCTCTATGGCAGTCTTTCCATTAAAAGGAGCAAAATACAAATAGAGATATCGGGTCTTATTTTCTACTGCCGCGAAAGCTCACCCGAAGATCCCAATAGCTCCGGGGTGTTTGCCTCGATCCACGCAGTATTCGCTTCGACTCCCCAGCGTGCTTCGACTTCGAATTTCCGCCCGCTCAACTCGTCAGGGTGCTCCACTCAGGTTTTCGTGGATGAGTTAAATCCGCGAATTCAGCCGTAGGAGCTCAATCCAAAACGGTGATCATTGGGTTTCCTTAAACGCTCATCTAACGAGAACCGTTGGGGATGCAGGAAGGTTTTCAGTTTTGAGCTGCTCTAATCGAATCGGAACGTGTCGTGTGTTGAAGGAGTTAGTGAATCACTACTTCGCAGCGAGCATGATCGCGTGTGGAGAAGCCTCACACCCAAATTTCGTAAGCGTCACGTAAACCTTCCGCCGTTCAATCTTCCCCCCTTTGATTCCTGCCCGTCTCTGACTCCCGCTTCTCGCAGGAAGTGCGGTTCATCTGGAAATATGGTGTTACGAACGAGGGGGATGAATTACTTCAAAATCGCATCGAACGCATTAGC